GCAGGAATGGCCTTCTGCTCTGTCCTAAGATGCTAATGTAGCCACACCTTAATTTCATTTAGACTCCTCCACACCAAAAACACGGTGATAGAAATACTCTTCTGATTATATGGCTTCTTTTTGTGCTTTTGTCCATGAAAACTCCATTTTTTTTCAGCTACCTGACACATCCAGGACATCACAACCATGGTGCTGTGTTCAAACAGGCAAAGGGCATTGTATGACTTAAATCTAGTGTGTCCTGGAGATACACTCTCAAGGTTCTGATGACAGCAACTTTCAGTGCATTTTGCTGCAAATTGGAGCCTGTTTCTTGCCATGAACTCTGCCAATTTTTGCCAAACTGGCAGATAGTCACCAATGAAAGCCAAATGATAAAGTGCTCATTTTGAACATGGAGCAGCAAAGAGGGCAGGCGAACTGAGGCACTGAGCGAACAGTGTGCCAAAAAAATAAAGCACTTGCTGCAGGGTACTTCCAAGGGGGGGTCTGGGCGATGAGTTTGCAGGAAGCATGTTTCTGTTCCTGTTGTATTTGACCTCTGCTTGTTAATTGAGATGTTATTGTTAAACTCTTTTACTAAATGCAACAAAAGCAAGAAAAATATACTGTATATTTCACAGTTAAACACCTGCATGAAGGTTTAGATAAATCTAAACCTGTGAAAAGTACTAGTCCTTAATGAAATGTCACACAAATTTATCTTCTGGATAGGAAGCCGCTATATCTTCTCCAAAAAGCACTATTCCTAATCTCAGTAGTAATTTTAGTGTGCTAGACCCAGGTCAGACCTTGCTATCGCATTGCTGTGCTGTTTTGGTTTCCTTAGGCTCTTGCATTGTGCTCACGGGCTTTGAACCCATCTGATGGTTCCTGGAAATAGTTGCCAAACTGACTGGCCAGTGAAAGAGCCTCAGCAGAGCTCGCTTTCTTACCTAAATTTTGGAGACTGGGGCTGTTTTATTACTGTTGCTGAGCATAGATTTGCTCTGAGAGTGACCGAGTATTTCTAAGGGGGTAAGGTAAATGCCGTGAAGAGAGACATTGTTTCAGGAGAAAAGAGGGCATCTTGGTTGAAATGTTACAGCAAACTATATTGCCAAAGAGGCGCTGTAGATTGAAAAAGGTCTTTGTTCAGAAGTTGGATGCTTCAGGCTACAGCGGTAGGGAGAGAGATTTTCTGCAGCATACTGTTGCATTCATCAGGTGTTTTACTAAGGATCTGAAAATGCTGCTTCTCTCAGAAAGGGTTTTTAAGCCTTTTCAAGAAAAAATAAATGGCAAACTTCAATAACCAGTGAGCCCAGTTCAGGAGTGTTCTAACAGTGCAAGCGAGGGGATTTGTGAAATAGTGTCTGCCTGTTTCAGCAATGAAATTTCATTTCTCTCTGTGGAAACTTCCTTACCTTCCTCAGTGGTGGTTCTTGCAGTCTTCCCAGTGTGCAAATTCCTTGCCTAAGACAATAAAATCTGAAGTGATACACAATTCATAAAGCTCCTCTGCCACCCCAAGTTTTGGAAAGCATCACCCTTTTGTTATGTCCTCTATTTGTTTTTTTAAAAAACAAAACAAAACATGCAGTTACCATGACAACTCTTGCCCACACTGGAAATCCATTAATGGGAGTTTCTGGCATGGATTTTATTTGCATATGCTACAAACAGCACTGTTATTAAACACATCGTTAATTATTCTTCCAGTCCCTGACGTAGACAGCTGGTGTGACAATAGTTACAACTTTCTGATTTTAGGTAATAGTGGTTATGCACAGCTCTATGCAGCTGAGTTTGCATGCACTTATGTATTGCTCTCTTAGAGACTTATTTTTTCTTTCCTTAGAACCTGAAGTTGTGCTTACTTGTTTAAATTATCAAGGAACTTGGAAAAAGAGATAATTTTTGGGTTATTCACCATCCTTTTTGTGAGACATTTTATTAGATGTTTTCTTCTCATTTTGAGGGTGTTTTGGTTCTTTTATATAGATATTTATTATACTGTGTGTGTCTTTATTAGTCTTTTGTTTTGATTATTATTTTAGATCTTTAAAAAGATGCTTGATACTGTACTTTGTCCTCTGAATAAATAGTTGCAATTAGCATCACTTGCTTGTGGCTTATATTACCAAAGGCTTTATTGTGATTTCATGATGAGTGCTACAGGATGGCAGTAAGAGATGGCATCTGACAACTTGGCTTTTTGCTTTTCTCCTCCCTTTTAGGAATTTCCATGGGAAGTAGATCATGCCACTGGACTGCATTTGGGTAGAGGATGAGTTCTGCCTTTCTCGCAGGAGTCTTCCAACACATTTTCTAAATTACCTTTTAATGGTGTTCTAAGTGAGCTTATGTGAAACAGATGGTATTGGATCATGAGTGAAGAAAAAAGCTTTGGTGTATCCCAGAAAATGTTGTCTCCTTCAAGAAGTACTAGTAGCTGCTCCTCCAAACAGGGAAGTCGACAGGTAATGCAAACTTTTTTTATCCAAGCTGAAAGCATTACTAAGATTGACTATTACTTTTGCCCTTGAATATTGGCAAAAAATCTCTTCAACTCTGTTGTCCTATTGCTTGCTTGTTTTATTTCATCATGACTGTTTTCTTTTTTTGTTGGTAGCAGCATCTTGTTTTGAGTCAAATGCAGTAAACAGACATTACTGAATAGCAGGCATTTGTAAAACTGGAATGCTAAAGGTGAATTTGAATTCCTAACACATTGTATGTATGGTGTCTTTATAGTGAAATATTGCTGCTGTAGCAGCTTGGTCTCAGTGGTTTGATCCTGAAATCCCAAATCTTACGGGGATGATACCATTGTTCTGGTAGAATATTGTGTAACTGCTCTGCTTATTTCAAGTTTCTGGGGAAAGGTGTGCGTACATGTGTGAAAGAATGCATTTTTCTGAAACTTGACATAGGGCCTCTTTGACAATGAAAAAGTACCTGTGAATGCCTGTGTGTGCTGTTTGTTGCTGTAGAACTGTAGTTAACAAAATAAATATTTGTGTAATGTGATGCATCTAGGTGCCTAATGCAAAGGATAGTTTGTTTTCTTTAAACCTTACAGTTTTAAAAAACATGTCTATGTGTGTTTGCACCTGACTAGACTGCTGAAGACAGCTTTTATTTCTGGACAAGAAATGTTGACCTGCAGCCAGACTGAGAATTAAGCTTAAACACACAATCCATGCTTGCAAAACCATAAGTGATATGCTCAATATAAACTTTTATTTGTACAGATGCTGTCTTAGTGGAGCTCTTGAAGCTGCCTCAGATTGAAATTTTAATTGGAACTGAGCATCCCAGTCCCCCAAAAGCTTTGGAGACCTCAGCTGTGTTTTGAAATAGCACCTGCTTTTCTGGGACTTCTGACCCTGTACATACAATTGGCAAGGCAGACAAATCTCTGAACAATTTATGCCTTTAAAAGTGCTGCGCTTGTAAGAAATGCTGTGCCTTTCTAGTATACTGAGCAAAGATATCCTTGCTTTTGGGATGTCTTTTTTGTTTTCCTGCAACATTATTTTTTATATCCTCGGTATGAGATTGCCTTTAAAAAGTGTAATTTAAAACATTTGCTATTGTTTATTTCAACAGTTCATGTCTATCAAGTGTTATCACGTAGTATTTAAATAATAAGATTTACATGAGCGTGACTAAATCCACTGATGTGTTACACAGCTGGTATAAGCAACCATACTTATGCAGAAGCAATTTCTGCAAGAACCTCACTTACTGTCATTTAACATGGTCAAATCTGTTGGCTAGCTCAGGCTTTTGATATCATTATTAGCAGGTCCCATTTCTTATCCATTTTGTTCTCACCTGCTGTCTTGGGAGAAAAGGAATGATTCAGTAAAGTTTAATGTCATCTTGTCAATCCCCAATTTTTTTAGTCTTCCATCCTTTTACAAAAATGCAAGGTGTGCCTGGCCAAGGTGAGAGATGCAACTTAGTGTTTTCTTTGTATTCCTGGTACATCCATGCTCATTCATTATAGTCAGACAGACGGTAAATTGCTTCATACACCTATGAGGTCAAGCTAAATGGAGGTATAAAGTAGGTTGTTTCCCAATGTATATTGAAGAGCAATACAATTGATAGTGCTTCGTGATAATATGGGGCATGGTGATAAATATCTCCACTTTGATCAATGTTTCAGTATTAATTTTTTCATGGTCAGTCATTGCAATACCGAGTAAGTAACAGTACACTTTTGCATCTGGGGAACCTACATGGGTTGACTGATTGTCCATGTTTTCAGGGGGTGGTAATGATAGCAGCAAGCCCACAGAAGTTGCGGAGTTTGTGTGACTTATGCTGGGAGATGATCACTAAGCAGGACTAAAAGCTCTGCTTGCTTGCTTTTTCTATATAGTTTGAAAATTTACAAACACTTTTTTTTCAGAAATTACACTTTTTTTTTTTTAAGGTTCCACTGGTCTTTCTGATATTTTTATTTTTAAATAGGGACTTCTATGTGCAAGGGATACCTTAATACTTTGTTTCCTTCTTTACCAGGTACAGTAACTTTCTAGCTTATCCTATAACTTCGTTTGCATTTGCTAAAGTGATCTAGAGGTCTTCCTTCAAAGCAGTGAAATTTAGCAAGGAAAAAAAAGAAGTTAATTCTAAATTACAGTTTCTTTCAGCATCATCAGTATTTATGTGCATGGCTGTGTATTGCTGTTCCTTCCTTAATTTCCTGATGTTCTTGGTGTTTTACCTGTGTCTATTTTCACACTGAAGTTGTTCTGCAGTTTACAGAACAAACTGTTTTGCTGGGGAAAACAAAGATTTTAAATATCCTGTGCAGTATGGACTCTGCATATTTACTTGAAAATAACTTCTGTGGGACATTTTCCCTTTTTTTTTTAATTTGTTTGTTCATTATAGTTTGTGATGGTAGCATTTTTCAGTGAATGTTTTGTTAGATATACTCTTCTGTGCTACATTTGCAAAGAGGGATCTTTAGGTCTAACAGAGGCAGTACTCTGCACTTACTGGCCTGGACACAGCTGTGCTTTGGGTGAGGAATGGATATCTTATCCTTGCTCTGATCTTGTAGGTTATAAAGATCTTTACCTTGCTAGGTAGACCCATTCTTTAGTGGCATAAACTGTATAGTATAGCATATATTGTAAAATCACAATTGTCGGTCTGTGCAGTGAGGATGTTGAGATCTCTCGTGTCCTGTCTCTTTGCTCCCCCCTTTCCACAGAGGATTTCTTGTCGCACCTGATCAAGTAGTTTTGTTTATATCATTAATTGCTTCTTTTCTCACTCAGCCTCTTGTATTGGTAAATTGGAGCTTTGCAGTCTGTCCCTACTAATATCTACCTTCTCAGGGCTGACAAGACCAGGGATGAGTGATGCTACTGTCTGACAGTTATTTAATTTGCCCTTTTCATCTGTATGTTTAAATGACAGTGCTTTAGGTGTTCTATTAAGAAAACAGCAACAATCTAAAGTTCTATAAATCTGTTAAAAATCCCCTAATCTAAAAAGTAACACAATATTTTGGTGTGGGTTTCTTTTTTTTTTTTTTGCAAAGCCCTGGTAGAAGAGTATAATGTAACACTGTTACTGATACTTTTTTATTATATAGTATCATGAAATTTTAAATAATTTTGCCATATGCTGTGAAGATTGGGGAGTTAAATGCTATGATTTTTATATTCTTTCTTTCTTCTTCCAGCTCCATGCAGGGCTTCTTATTCCTCCTTGCACCTCTCTCAAGGGACCTTGAGAGCTAGGCTCGTTGCTTGCAGGTTAATGACAGATCTGCCAGACAGGTGCTTTCCTCTGTGCTGCTGATCTGACACAGCAGTTCTTTTAATCTGATTAAGTAGAAAGAAATTCTGAAGCGCTCAGGGGAAGGGACCTGGACAGTTCACTTGTTTTTTCCCCAAAAATAGTGGGATATGAGGTTTGAATCTCTCCGATTTCCTACGCACAGACTCCGTTGCCAGTACATACTAGCACCAAGCAATAAGCTACCTGAGATTGGGATATGGAACCCCCATAGTACAAGGCTGCTGTGCCTGCTAAAATTTAGTTATTGCTCCCCACAGAGCAATGTATGTCAGTGGTGCAGAGCACAGAGTCTTGTGATGCAGAAGATGTGCTAAAAAAAAAGAGTTGACTTAAGCAGGGCCGCAGAACTTGGAGGGGCCTACTCCTTCCTTTGCTAGCTTGGTGCCCTTTTTCTGCAGATCCAACAAATTTGCAGCATGAACTGAAGACACAAACAGTTAATCCTGTTCTGCTAAGTTCACCTTCACTTTGAAGGTCCATAGCAGGTTGGAGGCTACTGCCACATCCCACCTTTCTGCTTTTCTCTGCCCCTCTCCTTCAGTCATGGAAAGGGATCTCTTCCACAAAGCCATAACTCAAACTGTGTTTTGTGAGGAAGGAGAACATCTTTAAATTTAAATTGACCTGTGAGCAAAAGAAGATATATTGTGGTAGTTATTTTTAAATCTAATTTGTTAACTAACCTTTAAAATAGATTCAGTAGGGAAAAGCTTTATGTCAGGAGAGCTGCTCAAAAAAACTCATGTTCTCAAAAAGAAAATTAAATCATTTCTGCCAATTTTATGAACCGTAACAAATGCTTTAGTTGCAGCTGATGCCAACCCTTATCCTCCACAAAACGGGTTTCTATTTTTGGCACTTTAAAATATTCGGTACAACTGACTGCATTTTACACTGGAAGAAAGTCTGGCACTGTCATCTGTTCCGTTCAGGGAGCTGCAAGTGCAAGCATTGGTCTGAGAGCTGTTCAAACTCATTACCTCCTGCTTTCTCCTGAAATAATTCGCCTTGAGCAGCTGTATGGTACAGAATATTGCAGGAAATGAGGAGGCTTTTGTTTCATTAAATAAAGAAAATTACTACAGTTACCTTATGACAGACTTATCTCTGAAGACTGAAGTGTATGTTGGTTTTTTTTTTGTTTTTTTTTTCTCAGCCACAGCACAGGTATAGGCCAACTAGCAACTCCAGGGTGAATTTTCAGTGCTGATCTGAAATGAGCACCTCTGGACCCAAGAAAAGTAAAGAGTATGTTCCTCCCTCAGCCTCGAGTGACATTTCTGCCTGGGCAGCATGATATTGGCCCATAATGGTACAAAATCTTTTGTAGTGTCATAATCTCCAGGCACTACCAATCTGGACATCAGGCTTATGCTGGAATTGTTAATGTCATTCAGCTGGGAGTTTTGGTTGTTTGGGGTTTTTTTTTGGGGGTGGTGGTGGTGGGTTTTTTGGGTTTTTTTGTTTTTGTTTTTTTAATTTAGCACTGTGGTTTGGGGTATCTCTTTCAGTTCCCTGTTATGGGATAAAAATCAGCAAAATGGAGCATGATCTGAATACTTCCAGTAGCTTTCAGGAAATCCTGTATCTCCAGTTTGCTCCTCTGCTGTTTCAGACAGATGAGAACAGATGATAACTGACCAGCCTGATTCATTTGCCTTCATTTTGGAGAGTAAGCAGTTTTCTTTTGCTTCTGCAGCTGCTCCCAGCAGTAGCCAACTGATGCTTTTTCCTCATCAAATGAGGTGTCAGATCTCTTGCAAAACAAAATACTGATCAAGATCCCGTAGGGTCTGGGTCAAGAGTGAACAGATCCAAAGCCCGTCACAGCAGCAGTGTTTTGAAAAACGTGACAGTTTGGGAGTTCAGATGGGAAAGGTTGCATTCTTCTGGATGGATGGATGGATGTGGAAGAGGACCAGTTGCACCTTCCATGTATCCAGCAGGTCCCTGTCCTGTTAGTTCTCTGAGATATTCTTTGCCTTTCCTTGGATAGCTTAGTTGATTAACTAGTCTTGTGCTTTTAAAAGGATCCATTTGTAATGCAACTAAGATACCTTTACATAAAGTTTGCAATTGAAGTGTAAAGTTCCCAGGGCAGAAATGAGGGTAGCAGACTTGCCTTCACCACCTGAGATTTGGCAGGCCGTCGGGCCTGCTTGATGGGAAGAAGTGCTCCCACTTAAGCTTTTCTTCCCATTTTCACACTTTTTAATTGTGAAGGCACTTTCTTGGCTGCCTCACTGACCTGAAGAACAGTGAGAAATGTGGCTTTCCTGCAGGAACGTGGGAGACACCTTGTGTCTGAACTGCAGGAGAGGCCCAGACAAAATTGGAATTGTAATGCCGGCCAGGGTTTGCTCTGTATTTAAAAGTTTGACCAAAACTATTGACACCGTGTATATTCCAGGTGGGTGTAATTGGCTAGGCTATTTCTCAGCTGCTTCCTTTCTCTTCACCTCATATGTCCAATGTACTATTGGTCTGTCTCACTTCAAGAGTCCCTTTCTTTCTAAACTTACCCGTACAGAAAAGGTGAATCTGGATTCTTGGGTTTCTTATGATTGTGCTCGAATTTCTGCTTGTCTCCTGCAAGCAGACCACTCTATCAACCCTATACAGTGTTTAAGCTAAACCAAAGTCTGTGAGAACTTGATCCCAAGTTCAATAAAGTTGTTTCATTAGGTGTAACCCTAGCATATTGAAAAAGATCTACTGTTCACAAGTCTTGACTGCTATCAGTTTAACTCTTAGTGGAAAAGTTATGTGTTTGGGTACTGCAGTTTAATATATTTTGGCAAAGGCAAGGGAAATAGCTTACTTGGTAATAAGCAAAACAGCTTTTAAGCTTTTCTGGTGTTAGTTTTTAATTAGAATTATCTCTCACTAGTTCCATCAGGTTTCTCACTTTTAAAAAACATTTACCTTTATCCATTTCCCCAATTTGAAATTGGGTAATGTTGGGATTATTTTTTTATATTGGCTCATTTAGTCGATCATGTTTTCTGAAGAGATGTGATTTTTATCTACACGTGGACATTTAAGCAGCAGTAAGTTCAGCTGTTAGTTAATGTAAATTGTAGCAGTACACTATATTTGATGATATTTAAAGAGGCTGCTCACTGTCATCATAACAGTCCCAATCCTTGTGATTATATAAAGGTTAATAAATAATTAACAGGAAAAAGAAATCCAAGACCACTACAGAAAGCATGTAGTGGCCTAATATTTACATTTATGGCAAAAGAGGTAGTAGAACATCTTTTCTCTTTGGCTTTCAAGGTTATAGACTGGAATGTTTGTCAAAAAAACTGAAGTCCTTAATTGTGGAGGCTTAGACCTGCCTTTGCACTTGCTAGCTGCAGTTTGACAGCTATTCAAGCTCTAGCTAACTATCCTTGCATGGGCACCGTCTGGCGCTCTGCTTCATTCTCTGCCAGCTTCACCCCGTGAAAGACCAGTGCTGTCGGTCTCTAGCCTGCGCTGCTGTGGCTGGTGTTGGGCTGATGTGCTGGACACAGCCCAGGAGGCCACCTGCTCTCCCTTCAGCCCACTGACTCGTCGTATCCATGAGTAACTTCTCTCTTTCACTGATCTGATATCATAGTCATTTACCCCAAAGCAGGAAAGGGTTCATGATTATTGAGAACTTTAAGTGAGTCTCAAAGCAGTAAAAATAATAATAATAAAAAAAAGAACGTGGAGTGTAACTTCTAGTTTTCAGTAGGAAAAATATTATTTCATGGTTGTCGGTTAGAAATAATGGTATCTAAGCAGCTGTCAAAATATCTCTCAAACTGGAGGAGGTAAAGAAGCTATTTGTTACAAAACTGACAAGGATAAAACCCAAACCTGTAGGGGCACAAAATGTGTGCCGTGATGACAATTTTGGTTAGGACAACTGCAGCTTTCACTCACCTTCAGGTAGCAGAACATCCGTGGGCGGTCTGTAGGGTGTTGAATGATGGGAGCTGCTCAGCCCCACATTTCTGCTGCTTGCAGCCCATTGTGTTGTGAGTGCTGGCAGAGTGAACTCAAGCCAGGGAAGCAGAGCAGCTTTCCAGTTTGTTCCATAAAGTGCAGTGCAAGGAAAAGAATAACAAAATAGTGGAGTGCCGCCAGTAACGTGGTGGAATAAGAGATCATGCTCCTTAAGCTGTTTAACGAATGTCTTTTTGAAGATGATTCACTGTTACATCTTGTTACTCAAGTAAAGAGCACATTACATGATGTAATTTTTTTTTTCTAGGGGTGAATTTTAAGGATTCTGGAGACGGATACATGAGCACAACTATTGCTCTTGCTGATTTTGTTTCATTTTTGTTTTAAAGCTTTGAGTCAGTGAAGTTTTTTTTGGGAATACTTCCCTATGTGTCTTACAGGGAGAACCACAAATACTTACCTACCTAGTATAGTTCTGTTTTCTCCAGACTGTTTCATATGAGTCCTTTTTTGTCATTAAATTCTATATGTTAACATATTCTTTGTCTTTCTCAAATATATGAGGCTAGTACTAGCACATGCCATTTCCTGTCAGTTGTTCATAATTCTAGATCTATCAAGTCCTATGGTAGCTGGCAATAAATAATTCATGAGATGTCTGATCAGAAATCTTGAAACGCCTATTACATTGTCATTAGCACTATTCCACAAATAAGAACTTTAAAAATACTATGAGATTTATTTCTTCTGTGTTATGTTGCTGCAGGGTTTTATGCTTAAGAGTTCCTGAGAGCAAAAAAGGAGAGATCCTCTTTTAATTAGAGGTGTATCTGATGAAGGATGGTTTTAATTTTTCTTGTACTCTCCCTTTATGTCATGTTCCTCATACTATTTGAGTTACTTCCTTGGCTTTTCCACTTGTTTTTATTTAATTTTATTATTTCTGTTTCACGAAGGCTGCAATTCACACCAAACACAAAGCCTTGAGTTACTGAATATGGGCAAAAGAGTTTTATAGAAAAGGTTTTCATTTGCAGTGTCTTTTATATATCCTTTTAGCATAGACTTTCTTCATGTGATGGCAAAAGGTTTTTTAATGTAAATTGTGACTAGGCTGTGGCTATATACTGTGTGTATGTATGTACAGAAAAATATACGTATAAAATTCTGGTAAGCACATACATTCAATGAAGGATGGTGTCATAAAAATAAAGTTTTGTTTAGTTTGTATTGTTTCTGTCAAAGTAAAAAATAATCTTGTCTCTTGGAAGATAAATAACAAAATGTAAAGATGGATCAAAGGTTAGATTTCAACATCATTATGTTGTTTGTTTGTTTGTTTGTTTTTACTTATAGCCTTCTTTGTCTTGAATCTCTCTTAACAACTCTGTTCTTTGGAAGAAATAAGATCTACATTTGTATTTTCTGCTTAAGCAGGACAGCTGGGAAATTGTAGAAGGACTCCGGGGAGCAATGAATTGTACCCAGGAGCCACAGAAGCAGGAGGGCTGCTTGCTGAAAAAGAGGAAATGGCCTTTGAAGGGCTGGCACAAGGTAGGAAAGGAATGTGTACCTGAAAGCCTGATGCTATGCGAGTGGGACTTTCTTGGGGTGGTGTTATGGCAAAAAGGTTACATAAGAACAGAGGAAGTGTTCTCCTAAGAAATATGGGGGGAAGTTGTGGTAGTGGTTTTTCTGGGGGGAGGTTTTAGGGGTGCTTTGTTTTTAATTCTCTGCCTTTTTGGTTACAGAGATACTTCTTTTTGGACAGAGGGATTTTGAAGTATTCTAAATGCCAAGCTGATGTAAGTGATCTGAAACCCTTTAAGGCCATTATGAGGTAACAACACTATTTTATCCAAAATAACAATAATTCTGTGTTGTTGGCAATGGGAAATAGAGTTTCAGCAGTTCTAAACAATTGGTTGAAGGGGGGAAGTGATGGTTTCAGCAGGTAATATCTATCCTTTTGCTTTATTCTGGAGTGATTGTATTATTTTTAATTTTTTGCAGATAGAGAGAGGGAAGCTTCATGGCTGCATTGATGTTGGACTTTCTGTCATGTCTGTAAAGAAATCAACAAAATGTATAGATTTGGATACGGAAGAGCAGATATACCATCTGAAGGTAGGTCTTCAAGATTGTTATAACCTTGCTCCCAAAATAACATTAGCTGTATATGATGGAGACTTTTTAATAGTAGGAGGTCTGTTAGTTACACTGTTAACTTACTTTTTAGTCTCAGCAGACTGGTTTACACTTTATAACTTCAGAGACCTTATTGTACTGTTCCAGAGTCAGTAACCCTGTTCAGAATAGAAACTTGGAAGATGCCTCATGTTTAGCAGCACTCTTTTCATCCAGCACTTTTTTCAGCAAAGGGTATGCGCTTGTTGCACAAGTGCTTTTATTTTCAGTAGTTGTATCTTGCTCTTTGTCTTATCTATAGGAAGTATTTTTCACAGTCAAATATGTAGAATTATCTATCCTTGTGGAATAAATTGTTTTAAAATACATCACCAAAATAAAATTTTGATTAGTGTTTACTTGAACCATGGCTAAACCTTAAATTACAATTAAGAAATGAAAAATGAAATGAGTTGTTGTGGGTTTGGGTTTTGGTTTGTTTGGTTGGGTTTTTTTCCCATCTAGAAGTTGCTAAGTATTGTGTTCTGCCTTGGAAGTCATAACTATACTAATTGAAGTTTTTATTTTTACTGACTTCATCCTGTGATTATTTTTCTGTCATGCTTAAGCTCACACAGTATGCATTTTAGTAGCAGCATTGTTAGAAAAACTTTCCTGATATTTTGCCAATAAAGATGAGCCAGACTAGCTGTCTAGTGAGGTCAAAATTTCATGTTAGTGATTTTGAATGTGAATGTTATAGAATCTGAAATTTTGTGTAGGTGAAATCTCAGGAGCTGTTTGATGAATGGGTAGCAAAACTTCGTCATCACAGAATGTACCGTCAGAACGAAATCTCCATGTTTCCTCATGACGTCAATAATCTTTTATTCCCTGTGTCTACTACTGCGGACTCTGTCCCTGGTTTCTGTGATTCTACTCCGGGTAGAAAGGTAACAGTTATGAATTATAAATAATGAGCTTTCCTTGGGGATTAAATTAGTTTGATTTGTGTTTATTAAGTAAAGGCCATAATGGAAGTTGTTGATGGGGCTTAAGTTATGATATAAAATGTCAAGAGGAAAATGATATTATTTATTGATTTACTCCTAAGCAGTTTTCTCTATGATGCTGTTAAATTTTATATTATTGTCTCATTGTTTTAATGCAGCAAATTATATTTTCGTGATGACTTTTAAAACCACATATTGAGTCCTGTGCCTGAACACAACCTCTGTGCCTTCAGCAGTCTGCACATTGACTGGCTGACACTCACCCAAAGAAGCTCTTCTGCTCCAGTTTAGAACCACTGATCTCTTTTGAGAATAATATCTTATTTAGCAATACTGTGTTACTTACTATAACTGAAATGTGTCTCTGTTTCTGTCAACTCCAGAGCGTCTCCTAAGCAGCAGTCACCTCTTTGTTATCCTCCTGTCTAAGGTTTTCTTTTTCCCTGGCTATATTGCTGTATGATCTGAGTGGGCTTGTTCCCCAATACCTGCAGTTCATCACTTTGGTGGGACTATCCTGGAACTGAGTATGAGTTTTACCAAACAGAAACATGTGCCTGAACAGCTTTTTGCTAGCTGTTGAGAGGGAGGGGATCTGTGCGAGCGGGCAGCTGAAAGAACAGTAGCTCACCCTGCGGTAACTGGGCTGTTCTGTCTGCATGCTTTCTGTGGTGCCAGAACCTCTGTGGCTCTGACAGCCTGCTCTTCTGAGGCTGTGTTTGCAAGGAAATGGCAAACCTCTTGTGGCCATTTGATTCTTTTTTTGCCAGAAGATAGCAGGGATAGAGGGTGAGAAGAATATTGAGGGCAATAGTGGAACATTGCAAAGCCTGTGATATCTCTATGCCTGTGCTCTCAAGTTAAAATAAATAAATAAATAAATCTATGTGGCTAGCATATCTAAGATCTATGCTCACTGTCAGGAAACTAACCATTTCTTCTTTGGCATGAAAGACTTTAATTCACTTCTAATTTATTAATCCAGATTTGCACTGCAAAGAAGTCCTACTTATTTTCATGTGAAAAATAGAAGGGGATAGTTCTTAAGCTGCAGTTAATCACCTTAGCTCTCTGAAGCTAAATGGAAGTTTGCCAATTTACACCGGCCCTAGCCTGATGTTAGTTGATATCAATCCAGCAGTTAGGTTATTTTGAGAAAAATATATTGAGTGAACTTTGCATTGCATTTTATTTGCTTTTATAAACACCTGGTCAGTTTTCACATCTGGGGTTTTTTTGTTGCTTTTGGGAGGTGGGTTGATGTATCTACATATGTTTATGTAGAATGCTTGGATTCTAAAGCTTAGCCATGCTGATCAAAAGCAAAACTCTGCTAACTGGAGCTATACAAACTCTCTCTTGCCTGTTTCTTGGTAATGCCTACATCCTTCTTCCCTCCTGCTTGTGCCCCTCATATACATGAATTCTGGAAAAGTTGCTTATATGATATAGACTTCTGAAGTGATAAATGTGGGATTTGTTCACTAAATGCCAATATAATTCCTTCTCTTTAAATTCAGTTTATTTGCGCTTTTAAAGGTGCTGGGATTATTATTTGGGTATACATACACAGGTGACTAAAGCTCATACAGCTTTTTGTAGGAATGAACCAGCTGAACTAGATAGATTAATTTAAAAATAAGTGTGCTTATTGATGCTTACAACTATTGTTTACTGAGTATATAAATTGAAATAGTACTGAATGACATCACTTGGATAGTGCATTTTATTTTATTCTGCAACTCAAGTTGGATCATTTATTGTAAATTTAAAAAGACTAACTAAGAAAACAGCAACTGACTGAGATGTAGATAATGTTTCCTATGAATAGATTTAAAATTAGCATTACCTGAGTTTTGATATAAGGTGAGCAGGAGCTAACAAAGTTTAAGTGTATGCTTTAGAGAAGAGACAATTTAATCAGCTTTTCTCATAACCAGTAAAGTGGTCATGTAATGGCACTTAAGATGAAACATTTTAAAACTAATTTTAAACAAGATGTTGACAAAGCATGTAATTTGTGCAACTTCCTGACATAGATAATGTTGAAGATGAAAGGTTTAGTAAGTTCTAAAAATAATAAGGCATTTGAATGGCTAGTAATTGTAGTTACATTAGAGAAGAAAACAGCATTACAGGCCACAATCAACTGGTAGTAGTATTGAGCAGAAATTTCTTCCCATTGGAAACTATTTAATTATACTGCTCAATTAGCTCTTACACAGAATTTCCAGCATCTCCTGAAGCATCTGATAGTTGGCACTGCAGAAAATGAGATAAGTTTGAAAATTATTACTGAGATGTTATAAAAGGGTATTATTTGCCCGGATGAGGTGTATAGTCACACATATATTAAGGCCTGCCAAGCCAAATCCATGCTAAAGTCATCTAACCTTGAGTAACATTTTTAAATAACTTCTACTAGATCTTGCTTTCTTCACTGAAAAATAGCTTTAACAAATATGTGCATGTTACATTTAAGTTACTTTTGGGGCTTCTTTGGGGAGCATGGAGAAGGAATGGAACGTCCAACTTTGGTCTTGTTCAGATATGGTGCTTTAATTGTGTTGAGTGGACTTAACTGATGCAGAACTTTGCCCTTCCTCGAAATTTAGTTTTCAGCAAATTTTTATGGTTTCTTTAGTACTTCCACTGCTCATGGACAGCAGTTGTGTTAGATGTCCTGACATTACGCTCAATGACTGTACACAGAGTGTAGTTCATACACTTTTTTCCTCTCTGTGTTATTGATGCCTTTGGTCCTTGTCCCTGATCATGGACCTCAACAGTTGGTTGTAAAAATTTGTGCATACAACATCAAAATATTGTTTGTTAATTATTCACTTGCTCTTCTTTGGAACAGGCAGGCAGCTTGACCAAACAGAATTCATTGTCAACTGGAGGTAACTTGTCATTTTCCTTTTCGAGTAATGACTCCAGGATTTCATCTTGGCTACAGTCTTCTGAAGATATGGAAAAATGCTCAAGAGGTAATGATATTTGAGGGAAGTTGAAAGTAGCCTAATATTTCCTCTAGTTTTTCTTTGGCAATGAGAGTACTACACTGTAAGTAGTCATTACAGTTAGAGTTTTCTCTGAAACTGGAGGGAGGGGTAGTTGTTTAACTGGTTGCTTGCTTGTTTTCAAAAGGACTAGTGATTTTGGATGTTGAGGTATCAATTGTGGGCACCTCTTCAAGGAACTTGTATGCATTTCAGTACATTTTCTTTTATATATGAACATTACTTTCAGTAGTAAGATCCAAACTTTCTTAAGCTGAGTATTCAAAAAAGGGAAGCATCCAAAATCTAATAATTTAAAAAGCACTAAATCTTTATACTTCAAAGTCACCTTCTGCTTTCATGCTTTCCTAAGAGCATGAAGACCTTTCTCACGTTGGTAGTGTCTGTTTGATACTTACTTAGTAAAGTTCTACCCACCAGTGAGTTTTGGCTCTAATGTAGAGGAGCTTCATCTCTAGCTCTGAATGTACAATTCAGTCTTGATGCCTATGGCATGGTTACCCTCACCATGAGGAGCTCTGACTAGTTCCAAACTGCACAAAGTGTCACATTATTCTCATTTTTCTGCAGCCAGCTAGGATAAAATATCATGATCATCATACACACCATATAGATGCATTTCAGTATTTTGAATTTGAACTTGAAGATGGAAGGATAGAAGCTTTTTATCCAGTCATCTAATAATATGCTTTTAGTCAATGATTAACTTATACTAGTGACAATCAAAATAAGGCTAACCTACAAAGTAAAAAAAATTTGTGTGTGTCTGTTACTTTAGGGCAACTGAAAATATTCTCTTGTTCAAAACAGACCTCTCCAACTGTCACACATATTTACTGGAAATGAACCAGCTGTTACAGAGCATGGATGTTCTTCACAGGACATATTCAGCGCCTGCTATAAATGCTATGCAGGTTTGTTGTTTAAAAAACAAAACAAAAAAAAGTTTTCTCTTGCAATTTCAAAAACCAACCCCAAATCCTAAAGGATCAAAGTATTTCTTCTTAGCTCTGCTAGTTTTATGTCAATCTGTATTATTTTTGTCCTGTGTATTGTTAAAAGGTTGGACCTTTTGAAAGTCCAAAGAAGGAAAAGAGAACACACAGGAGGTGGCGATCCAGAGTTGTTGGGAAAGAGGCTAAAGGAACGTTACAGGTAACTTCAGTCCTTTCAGTGCCCATCTTTCTCCAAATCTTAGTTATTGATCACTTGGTGTAACCAGTTTAGGAAATATGAACCTTTTCTAAGTAGTTGCCTGTGCTAGGTCATTTGAAGCAGTAATATATCACAAATATGTTGTCATTGATAGCTGCAATAGGATCTGCACTGTTACCTTCAGGAGACTGCCTATGTTTTTTACCATTGTTTTCGGTCTGCCTCCAATTTGAGGGGTTGCAGTGTTGGATTTTCTTTATCAGTACGGATATTTGCAAATTCTCCAGGTAGTTTTGTACACATTTGCATCCAAAGACCGTAGATTAGATACTTGTAAGTGGGGAAAAAATAGATAGCATATGCTACAGCTCTCAATGGCCTTGTTTCTTGGAGTTTTGCCAAATCTCCAGTTATGGTACCTTGGGCAAAGTTGTATCTATGGTTTCATTTGCCAGGTGTCATCCATTCCAAGCCTATTGGTAGTTGACAGTAGTTTTTCCATTTTTGGTGTCTCCAACATGTAACCCAGGTGGGTACAATAAAACAAAATTTTCTTTACACTTTGTAAAAAACATCACAAATGGCTCTCCTCCTTACAGGTGCCTTCAGTATTTTCTGCTCCTATGAGACTGCATGCTTCCAATCCTAACTTATCTACAATAGATTTTGTAGAGGAGAAAAATTATTCTGATGGCTCTGAAACATCATCAGAATTTACTAAAATGCAAGAGGACTTATGTCACATTGCACATAAAGGTAAATGAAATTGTCTTTCACATGTGGTTTTCTAGAATCACAATTTAAATAATTATGTGACTTCTGAGAATGCTTCCTGTTTAGTGTTTAGAAAAAAGCAGAAAATGCCCTCCATTCCTTTAAGTCCCTTGAGGAATCACAAATGTTGATATCTTGAGTCACTCAAAATGGCTTAATCATCACATTTTCTTTCTTTTTTTTTTATTTAATAAAGGACATCCCTTTGATCTATGTGCTAAAAACCTAGATTGCATTTTTTTGCCAAAGGCAAAAATCCTAAAATCAATTGCTGTAAACACAACAGCAGATTTATTGTCTTTTGTGTTTCAATGCACATGCATATGTGTGTATACGAGCACATGTATGTTTGTATCTTGTGTGCTTCACTGTATTTCAGAGTCAACATTTGTTGGTGATGCAAGGGTTGCTATGGTAGTAACCTATTTTTAGTGAATACAGAAGAGTAAAATCATGTAAAGCAGCCAGAGGGGCAGCTTGACTAGAAATGTTTCTTCTCTGAGTCATTTTTCATTAGCAGTGCTTTGCTCCATCACCCTTGCACCAGAAATATTTATTGTTTAAGTGATCTTGGTGAGGAAGGCACTTAAGCATTTATAGCTGAAAGACTTTTGGAAGTATTGACTCTGACCTCTTTTGCAGAAGATAATGGTTGATGTTATCAATAAGCATTCTTTGCTTGTTTTTCCCCTCTGGTGCTGATATATCTTGATTCCATTACATAAGGAATGTATCTTAGTAGTAAACTTTATAAAAAGTCAATTATAGTCAAAAATGATGTATGTTTTCTAAAAAGAGAAAAGAAGGGAGGGTGGGGTGCAGTTGGAAAAGTTGCTATTAAGCAGAGCAAAGAAATCACCTATTCAAGATCATCTTACCTGAAATGTCCATGTCAGAAATGTTCGTTAGATTGACCCATGCATTCAAGGGGACAATTGACTTGGTACTATTTAATACTGTATTGTTTTATTAAGAGTACAAAGAATTTTTTTCCGAAGTTACTATATACCATTCCCCTTCCAAAAATGGTAGTGAAGAAAACTTTTGATTTAGCTTTTGATACAAATTAAATAAAATGTAACATTAGTACTTTAGGATGTAATAATTCTTGAAAATTTAAGTTTGTGTACAACTTATTAAATGACATTTAAGGTCACAGAAGATTGTGGTCATGTCATCCACATATGACTAACAGAATAGATCACAGTGAATACCTCTTTCTCCCCACCCTCTGTGATGCTGTTAAAGATTTCTTCAGATAGGTTAAAGTATGAGAATTAGCTTTGGTAATGGTTTGCAGTGCTGAACTATACCTTAAGAATATTTTCTTAGAAGAGTAAATTAGGTTACATCAAATACGCAATGAAGTGATGATGATCCAGGTTAACTCTGAGTGGATGATTACAAGACAGAGATAAGAGATTTCTTGTTCTTTGCTTAGATTTTGTATCACCATTTCCCTGTAAATGGATACATTTTTGCATTTGCAGTTGTCATGACTATATTACAAGGCTTGATTAGGCCTCAGAAATCTTCTCATTCTCCAGTTAGATGAATGTTGAAATTCTACATAAACAGATATCACTTGAATAAATTTTATTCCCTGTGGTTAAAGAAAAAACTAAATATCTTAAAACCAAAAAAAAAAAAAAGGGTGTATTTTCCCTTAAAAATCTAGTGATTTTAAAATTGCGTGATCTGTTGTCTGATTTGAATGTTTCAGGCTGGTGATACTGGCTCAGGAAGGAGTAGAAGTAGCAGCGTAACCTGCACAACATTCAGGATCTGACCCTTTGAGTCACTAAATCATCTAACAAGCTGAAATTTTTTTATCCCAAAAAGAGATAACAAAACTCAACACCACAGTTGACTTGCTTGTGGGGAAACTACTAACCCTGTAGCTGTGGCACAGTATGTGTTATAGCTGCTTTTATAATTTTTTTTTTCTATTTCATTTTTTTTCTTCCTTCTCTTCTTCTCCCCCCTCCCCCAGTGGAATTCTTAAAGGAATGTGGAATAGAGTCATGATCATCTGAAGATTCAAGCTAATTGGGGAACAAAAGAAAGTGAAGAGCAGATGTGGTTAGTTAGCTTTGTTGCCATCTGTCACAAATAATCAGAGTAATTTTGACTGTGGCTAATATAGTCAACATGGTAGCATTCACCATAAACATTTATCCTACTAAAAAAATCTACCCTATAACCTTGATTAATATTACTTGGTTTTAGTAACCCACCCTGGATCTCTCAACCTAAATTCTTGTTTCTGTCACCATAAATGATGTTTCATTGAAGTTTTACATAATTGGTATGTATACAATTGGTAGCTGTTTTTAACTGTCACTTTTTACAAAATGGTTCTAGTTTACTTCACCTTGAGGTCAGCTTTCAGCACCATATCTACAGAGAGAGAAAAGCTGAAGCAGATGCTGGAGAATGATGCATCCTCGTCTCCATCTGCACAAATAGTTGGCTTGAAGAATGCCTTAACATCCGTAAGTAACATGCTGAAGTTCAGCAAGCTACATTGTCATCAGATGCTATGTTTAAATTTTATAATAGATAATTTCTGTTTCTTTAATGTCTGTTCTGTGCTAGCATTTGCAGTATTGAAGCATAGTAAGTTGTTATATATGGTGTTTTTCAAAGACTCTTTTCTAAGTGTTAAAGGTATTGTGAAATCACTGAAGTTTGATAGATTGATTTAGGTATATGGTATAATCTGTATCATTTGATGTTAAGTATCAGAGGACTGTTCTGTGATGACGAGTCTACTTTCTCTTGAAACGTGCACTGTTTAATCACTCAGTTCTGGTAGGTTGCAGGTTTCCTTTTCTTTTCCTAAACAGTGCTCAAGTATTCACTGTGTGACTTGGCATAAAATAAAGGTGAGAGTGGCTGAAAGCACGCAGCTGTCCCTTCTAATGCCCTAGAGCTTCACCATTTTTGCACCAAGACACTGCAAAGCAAATATTCAAGTACAGCTTGCTTATATTGACTTCCAACCTTAATTATCTGTTAGTCATCTAAAAGCAGTAATGGAGCTGTTAGGGCAGAGTTCTAAATGACAAAAGATTGTGCTCTTTAAAAAGGTGGGGGTTTTTGGTTGGTGTGCTTTTTGTAATTGGTTGAGACCAGAACTTTCAGGTTGGTCATGTTTGAACATGTCAACCAAGCAGTGATCTGGTTTCAGAGCAATGAGGGCCCATCATTACCGTGGTCTTAAAATTTCAGTGTTTGTTGCAAATTCCTAATCAGAGGCAGAGGTGACTCTCAGACATTGATAAATGTGATATAGATCATCTTATAATTTTTTCAGTATGAAAGCTTCTCCTTGCTTGACAAAAGCTGCAGATGGTTATAGTTTTTTAGGTATATAACATGCCCTTTTGTCTAGACCTTTCAAGGTCGTGATGTCTTAATTTTATTTAGAGAAAGCTGAAACCTGTTGCATAATAACTATAGTCACTCACTTGCGCTTCTTTGTTTTTGGCTTTCAGATGTTCCACTTCTGATATTTGAATAGGTGACACTTATTTTTCCAGTGTTCTTTGCCTACCATTTTATTTAAAAATTCCATTTTAAGATTTCAGAACTCAGTGAACACTCAGCTTAGCATGGTTTTTTTTTTTTTCTGAGCAATGAAATTCTGTTATGCATCTTCATCTTATAAATGTCTTTTAAAAGTCATGCTCTTAGGTCTTATCTAACACTTAATAAGCCTTTTGTGGCCCATCCAGAAGTGATCTGTGAGCCTTGGCAGTTTCAGCAGAGGTTAACACCTGTGAGAGCTATTCTCAGCCTGCAGATCTGTAAAGCCATGATGCCAACAGAAATTTTCTCACCCTGTATGGTAGAGATCCTGTAGGAGAAAGGAATAAGCTTCCTTTGAAGACATATGGAAGCACAGATATGATAAACTTGACATATTTCTAAGACTTCCCTGCAAGAGAGTCTTGCGTTGGTGACTTTGACTTAGTGTTTATTGTTGTTCGTTTCAGTTTGTCTTCTGTACATGAGTAACAAAAAAACAGACTCACAGGTTGAAAGCTATCAAACCTAAGTCTGTTTTGCTCTCATCAGCCTGGTAGGGGAAGAATAGTGAACAGATTTAAAGTGGATAAAGCACCACAAAATTAGCATCTCTGCCTCTGCTTTTCCCTCATTAAGATAGTATCCCTGACTTACACACAGTCTAAGAAAAGTAAATACAGAATGGGGTAAAATACAATATTTTTATTTTTGGAGGAGGAAGAGGACAATAGAAGGAAGAAAACACTTTTTATCAAATAATGAAAATTAGAAGATGCTATTACAGGAAAGCTGTGTAAATTCTTTGTTGCACTTTTTTGATGTTGTAGGTATAACACAATGCTGTCCATCTGAACACTTTACACAGAAGTGATATGTGCCTGTATGACAAATTCAGACCACACATTATGTAAAGCCAGATAATACTTTCTCCCCTCTTTCATCACTTTGAGCTCACTGTCTTTCCTGCCCTCAAGAATATTTCCAACAAAAATTACTGTCAAAATCAGAAACACTTGTGGGACAAAGCAGATGCATAAACAGCAGGGTTCTCCACATCCTAGTATTGATTCGGATCACTGAAGTGGGCAGTAAGTCTTCAGTATTGTTCCAACATTAGTAACCCAATCTTCCCCCCCCCCGAGATATTTTCATTGCAGGCAGGGTTGCATTCTTTTCCTACAAGTCCATTCTAACTGACGTGTGTCCATCAGATCCACCCAGCATGAGTAAATAACATGTAACAAACATGAGTTTGCAGAAGAGACTTTTTTATTCTGATCATTGCCATTATAAGCTGATACGACACAAATTGTACCTGTGCCTGTCTGAATTTAAGTCTTATTTCTCTGTCAGTGGAAGGCAAAGGGAACTGTCAGTATACCAGGCTGATAGAAAAATCAAATGATTTTGGATGTGGCAAGAGTAAGAGTTAATGTTGAGAGAGGCTAGGTTGGAGATAGGAATGAAGGAAGGGAGCTTGAAAAGAAAAAAGGTGCACAACATTCATTTATAAACCTATTCAATCAGCTTGCAAAACCTGGTAAATTGAAATATCCCTGCCATTTTTGGCTTTTTTTTCTCCCCTCCATTTATGTGTCTTTTCTCTCATACTGGACAAAAATAATATTAATTTGAGAGATAAGGAACAAGGTGTGAAGCATTTATAATAAATGATTTGCTAAAGCAGTAAAAAAATCATGTGGTGGTTGTGTTTTATACTACACTTTATAAATATTCTTCACCCCTTTTTACACAATAAACCCACATTGAAGTTAGTTGAGAGAACTTTATATCCCCGATATTTTTGTTAAATATTCCAGGCAATAGCACAAAACACAGATCTTAAAGACCGGTTACGCAGAATACATGCCGAATCTATGATCCTTGATTCAGCATCTAATGCAAAATCAAGTCCAGATTTGGTGAAGGTGGGTATGGATTTCCTCTTTCAGTGATGTCTGTTCCTCAGGCCCCTACATCTAGACAGTGCTGCATTAGCTGCATTGTGTCCTGTTCTTCATGTCTTCCCTATGGTGCATTGTGTTATTAAAATGAGTCCGCTTTCATGTTTGAGTCATTTCTGATAATGCATTGTGTAACATTTGATTTCAAAGGCTTTCCTTGCGAGCAGTTTTCCATTGCTTTTTGCTACAGTCTCCTGGTGTTCTCCCTTGCCTCCTGCTCGCTTCCTGTTCAGCATGAACAGAGCTGCTGCCTTGTTACCGTCGTGCTACTGTTTCTCCCCACCTCATTCACTTTCAAGTTCTGTAGTTCTTTCTGTTGCCTGTCTACATATTGTTAGCCCAGACTGCTGGCTACCAGTGTGGCTTGTGTGTGGTTTAGAACAACTATCAGACGTTTCCATGAAAGATCAAAGAAATGAGATGTACAAAAGCCCTTTCGGCCATTTAGTTTTCTTTGTGTGAAGCCAGGGTGTCTTCTATGTATCCAGTTAGCCAGTTTGAGATTTACTGATGTTCAGACAGTTTTTTGACTTGTTGCAGAATGCATGTGAATATGCTGTATTTATAGGTCATAGGATCTAGGTGGTAATGGTGCTAGTGAGGGAAGCAAGAACTGTGTTATTTCTGATGGATTTTCCTAAATGTTAACTCATATGGAAACTTCTGCTGTGCTTGTAGTATAAATCTTTCATTAAAACTTGAGTGGATATAACATTGGGGGATTTATATAACTTATTATTTCCTTTTATTTTTAAAGACAGTTAAGTCATTCCATCTGTTCACTTCTGGTTTAGTCCTGTTCTAGTAGGGCTGTGTTTTGGTCTTATTTAGCTGGGGTTTTGTTGGTGTGGTTTTTTGGTTTTTTGGGGTTTGTTTTTGGTTTTGGGGGTTTTGGTTTTTTTTTTTTTTCTTTAAGGTTGTTGATCATTCTGATGCCTTTTACGTTCAATCCCCTGACAATTTGAACAGCATTTAAACTGCTATCCAGACAAGCATTAATGCATTGGTTTTTAGTTTCAGGAGTTCTTTATTTTCTTATTTAGTGGAGGTCCCTGCAATGACAACAGATTATTTCTGAGACTTGTTCTATTCACTGTATATATACACACAACAAAAATAGCTTTCAAAAGGTCCTTTAGAGATTTCATTCACAAATTTCCTCTGGCATACTTTGGGATGGAACTTAAGGATGAAATCACTTATACTGGAGAAGTTTCATGTTAGGTTTGTCTGAGGACTATGATACAGTAGTGCTGCTGTGAGGAAGGCAGGGCCACTGCACAAAACTTGGCTTTAAATGATACATCAGGTGCTATGATAGTCATGAGAAAATTGAAGCAGTATGAAGTAGTATCTCAAGCCTTTGCATAAGGTAAAAGTTTAGTTTGCCTACTGGGCAGTTTATGTTGTAGTTTATAATGCCAGAGTGGGAACATGAAAGAAGACAACATGAAACTCTCATGTGATAGATATGAAAACTTGCTGTTCTTTTAATGAGCCTTTCCTGCACACTTTCCTTCTCAGATTCAAAACAGTAATGGAAATAATGCCAGTAGCAATGCTCATCTGTATGAGTTTTGGGTTTGTTTTTTTTTTTTACTTATAGGCTAGTCTAACTGCCTTCCCACAGAAGAGGCAATGTTGAGGTTTCCTCTTTTCTTGCTGCTTTATCAGAAGTATATATCTTTTTTTTTTAAAAAAAATGTGTATGATGACAGTTTGGTTTGTTACCATGTCACCATTATCAGCACGTACTCAATAACACTCCATACTATAGTAAAATCTACCAGCAGAAAAGCTTTGAAAGAAGATTTGTCAGTTTGATTATAGACTTGTCAGATTGTTCATTACATTGTTCTGAAAGTAAAACACTACAATTCCTGCAAAATTATGATAGGGCAGCCATGGTTACAAGTTAGTAAAGCATCTCATGCAGAAAACCTTGAGAGCAGCTAATATACTCCTTTGGGCCAGCTAGCCCCAAAGCTTTCCTTAGCGTTGGTGGGGTTATCAAGCAAAACAGTAGTGTACAATCTTCTCCAGTTCTTTTACTGCATCCACAGAATGAACCAAGTCTCACTGGCCACCCTACCTTTGCTAAGCCACCTTCTGGAACTCTGCTGATGCCAATGATCTGTAGAGCTTCCATGGGAGGAGTTACCGAGATCTCTGTGGCAGTCAAACATGCCTGCAGAAGCAAAAGCAACGTACTTACAAAAGCAACTTTGATAATATGCTGGGTTTGGTTAACACGGAGCTATTTCAGGTGTGGATCTGAAGGAAAGCTTTCCGAAGCACAGCATGGAAAATCATCTAGTGAAGAAAGAGCTAGGAAAGTATTGCTGTTAAATAGAAAGCAACTTTGCTACTCTGAATTTGGTATGCTGCTGCACCACAGGCTTCATGTTAAGCAAGGCCTGAGAGGAAAAGACTAATTCATTTGCTATGATCAGAAGGGAATGTGAATCTAGGATATAATATAAAGAGATGGGAGCTTTGTTCTTTTGGGGGCTTTTTGATGATACACTTGTGTATATCTGGCTAAGTCACTCAAATATCAAAGCATTTTTACTTTTTTTTTTTTTTTTTAAGGAAAAAGTATATACCACGCCATAACTGATTTACTGAATATGCATTGCTTTTTTTCCCTTCATTTTTTTTTCTTCTTCTCTTTGGTCTGTTTTACTTTGGTTTTAAATCCCTCTTTGAAACATATGCTACCTCACTAAATTGGAGAGGAGCATGTGCAATCTTCTCCCAGTGTTTTTAAGTTATGTGACTGTGGAATTGCATGCATGAATACTATTTGTGTTGGTAGTTCTCTCAAAACTTTTTATTTCTTTTAAACAGGAAAATGCAAGAGAAGAAAGCAGAGGTCTGGTTCACCAGGTCTCCAATGAAAGCAGACTGTCTATAGCTGACTCTCTCACAGAATTTTTTGATGCACAGGAAGTCCTACTGTCTGCTAGCTCTTCAGAAAATGAGGTCTGAGCATAAAGATTGACATCATTCTGATGTAGTTTCTTATCTGCTACTTGACATGCAGACTTTGAGTGCTAACTGCACATCAGATGACTGCCAGTAAATTAAAATTTTCAAAACATTTAGAAATTAATGTGCTGCATGTATTTATTGTCATTGTATCTTCACAGTAAAATGTAACAATTATTATGGAGAAGCGTCATGTGCACATTAAGGCAAATGGCAATTAGGTAGCTAGTATACAGATACTCCGTATATTGTACTGCCTGCCTTAAGTCATTATACAGGTGCTTAAGAAATTGTATCATAGACATATATATTCATACCTATCCTTGTGGTACGTGTATGTACCTTGGGGTTGATGTCATGCATATTGAAACTTAATAGCTCATTTTGTCACCTCTCTCTGACTCCATAAAACCTTGGCTTTTGCTATGAGGAAAGCTGCCTTACCTGTGGGGCGAAGAAGATGAAGCATGTCTCAACTAAAAGAATAGCTGAATTTTCAATGATGATGATCTCTTCCAAACTTAATTGTGTCTTCATAGGACGACTTAGTACTTTCCTGTAATACTGAAACACAGCTTAAACAGTTCAAATCTATTAAAATAATAATTGCATCTGAAAGTAACAATTTTCATGTGCATATGGGGTTACTTTAATGAGTGATGTATCTTGCTTATTTCCCCACCCCGCACTCAGGTATCAGATGATGACTCATACGTAAGTGATATCAGTGATAATGTCTCGGAAGATAACCTAAGCAATGACATGGAGAATGAAAGACAAACTTTAGGTAAGTTCAGTGTTTTATTATACCATGTTTTGAGAATTTTGTTTGTTTATTTTTGGGATATTTTTTTTTCTTCTCTTACTGGAAATAATTTGATATTACAGGTTTTGAGATGTCACTAGCCTGTGTGTTTTCTCTTACAGCCTCAGATTAGTTTTGAACAACACATTCTGGCTAATCTAATTAATAGGGCCTGGGAAATGTTGATTAAGCGGATGGTGGCTCTGTATCAGCAGAGAAACACCTATTTTCTTGGCTGCTTTGGTGCAACTCCCATTCCTTTTAAATTCCTGTCATGGCCACAGACTTTTTCAAAGTAGCAAGGCCTAGCTGCTTGCTTTTTTTTCTGAAAGTAATTTTCTTCTTGTGACTCTGTTTTTTCAGTCTGTGATTTAACAACCCCATTCACAGTTCTGTTGTTTTTAGCAGAACTCAGTGTTTAAAGGAACATTAGAATAATTACACACTGGCAGGCCTGGTGTATGACCATAAGGATTTCTTTTTTGCATGTTTTAATCATGATAGTCTTTTTAGTACATATGCTTATTTAACTGTCTTGCTAATTAGAGACAGAATCAAAGAAAGAGGGAGAAGAATTTGTCATAACAGACTAATTGGCTTTGTGCCTTCAACTCCTTTCAGCTAATCACAACGTTCTTCCCACTCTATCAATATATTTTTATCTTCAAAATTGCTGAACGATGGTTTCTTACTAGCAGCTGTTTCCTGATCATTTCCAAGGACCAGTGGATCCCTATGAAATTGGGTAGTTTGAAATGCCTAGAGATCTGTTGTATGCTATAACTGTTTAAAAATTAAGATTTTTTATTTTTTTAAAGGAAAGAATGCAAATTGATTTATCTCAGGATCTAGACCTTAGAAAACTGTACTGGTGTGGCTGTTCATCTTCTTGTAACAAAGGCTATTACTGAAGCTCTTTAGTATTAGCAGCACCTCCACATGCTTCTGGTACCTGCTATTTCTGGGCTTTGGGCAGCCTGCCACTCCCATTAATAGCAAACAGGATGTCTTTTTCCTACAGGGCTTTAGCTGAACCATAAATTGTGGGATTATGATAAAATCCTCTGGCCACTGTAATGTAGAAGGTCAGACCAGATGATAATGGTTCACTCTGGCCTTAAAAGTCATTGAGTCTAGCTGGAGGTCAGATGTCTTAATCTCCTTCAGCATTGTTGCTGGCCATTTGTCATAGTTCTTGCAAACCAGAACTGCATGGGCTTTTCTTTTCAGGGAGGGCAAACTTCACGATATAGAAAATTTGGTATCTGAATATCTTAGTTGTTTCTGTACTTTGTTTTGCCAACAGTTTACCCCAATTAATGGGCTGGTCCAGATATGTAGTTCAGTCAATTAGTATTCTGCTTTTAATCAGAAGCTGTCAAAGGACATAGCCAAATCCTATTTCAGAGAGCTCTTTTGAACAAAGATAAATCTTTAGCATTTGCATTTTTCCTCTCCAGAGATCCCATTGGCCCTGAGGCATCTAAGGAGGCATCCTCCTTTTTGGCCTCTTCTGATATTAAATAAATTCTTCCAAGAGGGAAGTATAAGGGCCAACCTCTTAATTCTTAACAGCATAATGTTCCACGTAGATTTTTCTTGATTCATAGTGCCCATGCCATTTTTATGCAAAAAGAAAGAGATAGCCAGTAGACTGCAAATAGTTCACCTGTCCTTGTTACAGTAACTCAGCCATATGAGATATTAGGACCTTAAGTTTGTAAATGGCAGAAAAGATAGAAACTTCTTCCTCAAAACTTTGAGGCTGCTGATTACACTTGAAAACCTTCATCTGAGGCATGGACTAGCACACATGGCCCTGATGAAGAAGTTAGTCATTGCGGTTATCTGTACTTTGTCACTGTTAGAAGCACTGCTGATATCATCCTTACGTCAGTGGACCAGTAGAGGAAATACTGGTTGAAGTTGTGCATTTAAGGGCAGGGATTCTTTGGGCATGTGCAGCACAGAAAAGATGTGCTGCTCAGTGCTGTTTTAATTCCTCTAAGACAAAGCTTTGTGAGGAAAGCCAGATGAGGACAGGGGTTGACAGACTGGGGCTATACCTGAACTGATTGTAGGGCAAGAGCTTCCTAAGGTGCTTTTAAGGATGTGTAAAGATAAAATATGTTCTTATAGTGGCAACTGTATTCCTCTCTGAAATGAGACTGACGTACAGCTAAGCAATGTAATAATTTCAGACTAGTGCCTGTTGCAGAAGCTTGTAGCTCTATTTTGATCATGCCACAAATCATTTTATGGCACATTTAGAAGTATTTATCCTGTCCCAATTGCTGTGTCATAGCAACACAGACCTCAGATATTCATGTCAAGGACTCTTGACATGAGTTCTGGGGTTGGTTTTGTTGGGTTTTTTTAGTTTGGTTTTTTTTTTAATCTTCAGCAAACCCATAGCTCCACAGTTGCATCAGCTTTTCCACCTTTAAAACAGACCTTTTCTCCACCAATGTGTGGGAGTATCTAATAGCTAACATCACTAAAATTTTTTAAATGCTAAGCATTGTGGGGAGCACTAAGGAAAAATCTGTATGTAAATCTGTAGTGCAGTAAATTTCCCTGGTAGGAGTATCCAAAAAAAGTAGCAAAAGATAGGTAGGAGTTGTTATGCTTGGATCTGTAAGTTACGCCTTGCCTTCTAAGAAGTGTCAACTTAATTGAAGCTCTGTCAAGGAGGGAGGTTTTATGTCACTTAAACAGATAGGAATCCATCTCCATTACAAATAAAATAGTTATAATATTTACTCTTTCAAATTCAATGGAAAGCTTGAGCCTTTCTTATAGGCTTTAAGGGAAGGAAGGTAATTTTTTATGCATCTTTTGTACCTGGCATTTACCTCAGTCAACATACAGAAATTAAAATCTTGTTCTTAGTTTTATCATTTTTATAACAGGCTGTCTTCAAACCACAAGTGAAATACTTTGATGAATTGTGAGGGTGGAGGGAAGTTTTGACAGAAAAAAGATGGTTGCATTTCAGTGTATGTTTGCAAAGGGGATGGAACTGAATGAACAGTGAATTGACTTGTTCTGCCACTTCCTTTTCAGACTGTATTTCTGAAAGTGGAATTGGATGCAATTCTAAACGGAGAACATGTTTACCAGCTCCATGTCCTAATACAAGTAACATCAGCCTATGGAATATCCTGAGAAATAACATAGGAAAGGATCTCTCCAAAGTGGCCATGCCTGTCGAATTAAATGAGCCACTTAACACCCTTCAGCGTCTCTGCGAGGAGCTGGAGTACAGTCAACTACTAGATAAAGCAGCACATACTCCTAACCCATTTGAACGAATGGTAAATATGTTATTCCAAATACTTAGTAACATTTGATATAATTAGAATATATATAAAAACAATCTGCTGAAGAAATGAAGATGTTCTGTTCTGTTTTTCTCCCAGCTGAGAGGCAGACTTTCCGAACGTGTCTGTACATACTTACATTCCTGCTATTTTTGACTCTTCACCATAATTTCTGTTGCTTTGTCAGCAAGTCTCTGCTCAAGTACCTTGCTGTCCTGCAAGTTTAAACAATGTAGTGGTTTAGTTCTGGTTTGCAGGTCTTAATCAGCAAGATTAAAAATTTACAGCCAAAAGGGACAGGGTGGGGTGTGTGTGTGTGTGAGGGGTGTTGAACTACTTCCCTCTTGAGTGTAAAAGCTACAATATATCTTTTTTTTAAGGGTGACTAATCTAGTAACACATTTGTTCATAGAGGATGCTGGATCTTCCAGCCCTACGCTACTGTGATAGCTTTATATTAACTAAATAAACTCCGATAGTTTTTATTAACTGGCTTTGTGAAGGTTTGGTGTTGATCCAGAATGTTCAGGATCTCAAAACCAGGCAACATGAATGTATATTTGGTACAATAATGGTGTCGTCATCTGCCAGTGCAGAACCCTGAATTCAGCATTTGGCAAAAGAACAAGGGAAAAATGCATTTTTGTTGTTCTGCTTCCAGGTACACGAGAGCTACTTAACATGTAAGCCTGTAAATAAACAACTAAAAGCTCTCTAAATTCTCTTAAATGGAAGCTATGGATTTTCCCTTAAACTGAATTATGCCTTTGCAACTCAATATATCTTACCTTAAAATGAGGTTATTAATGAATGTAAGCAGTCATATTGTAACTGCTGTTTGAAAAGCCTCTTGCTCCATTCTGACAGTGCAAGGGCTACAATTTAGTGTCTGTTCTCACCTTCTGACAAAGTGTGTGGCTATTAACTGGGCTTTTAGGTGCATAGCTTGTTTTGTTCTCTTGAGAACATAAGTTAAAAGGAAAAGGAAATGAGCAGTAGTTGTTCATATGGGACTGAAAAGAAGCCTTTTCCCTCCTTCCCACACCCAAGCATCTGGAAGTTACCTCAGAATGGAGTATTCGTTGCCTTTGAGAATTTCCTGAGGCAAAATTAATGCTAGCTGTTGCATAGTAATTGCAATATTTCATAAAAGAGCCATTCTGAAGTGGATTCAGTTTCTGAAATTGTGAAAGCAGAGCATCTACACTTTCATAAGATGAGGAAAAGGGAATGAAAAGGGAGAAAAAATGGTACAAGAGAAACCTGAATCAAAGAACACCTCAAGTTTAGGAGGAATTATGCTTGAGTTGGCTGCAAAAATTTGGGTTGGTTACCTGTGTCTCAATTATAAGCAAGAACAGTTTTATGATTAGGTAATAGCACACAGTAGATAACAGGCAATTCAATTCAAACTGCATTAGAAATAGCAAACCTGGTGAAAACTCATCCAATACTTCCTGTGCCATGTTTAGGAAAAGGATAGTTGGTAGATCCATAGAATCACAGACCATAACTGTACAAGCCAGTTATAATACAAAATCTAACAGTAATTTTTAAGGTTCCTGCTTTGAACTGTGTTGCAGAATGCTAAGCTGTTTCAAACAATTTTCAGAAATACTGTTTTCAGCTGATGAACTTTGCAGTGTTTGACCCTAATAACTCCATCCCATGACCATTGAATGACTCTCTGAAAACTGAATAATTCTGTAATGCATGAGCTAGTGCTTAACTTGCAGGAGGCATGCATGCTTGTAGTCTGCAAATGATGGGGAAAATACAGAATCTGATGTCAGGATAAGACCTTATTTTTTTTCCCCCTTCTGTTAAATCAGAATGTATAGCAAAAATTGTGCATGGCTGTGGTAAATTCATGAATCAAAATTCCACATATGTTGTTCCCAGGTGTATATAGCTGCATTTGCAGTCTCTGCGTATGCATCCAGTTACTACCGAGCTGGAAGTAAGCCATTTAATCCTGTGCTTGGAGAAACCTATGAATGTATTCGTGAAGATAAGGGTTTCCAGTTCTTTGCAGAACAGGTACTGTATGCTGCAGCCCTTAGATTTGCTACTTGATACACTGTTTAATTCTAAATGTATGGCTGGAATCCTCTGGAATTAGGCAAAATACGAAATTACTGTGCATAACCTGAGCCCAGCAAAACTCAGGAGACGCTGCAGAATTATAAATGAGGGAAATTGGGTTTTGAGGAAAGTCTACTAACTCTGGGATGGAACATGACAACCAACAGCTGACACATGAGAAGCAAAGGCTGGCAGGCTGCCTACTCCAGTAACTAGATAACTTGATTAAGTAGAGTGCAATTCCCCATGCTGAAATCTGATCACAGCTGCAACAAGCATTCATGTTCTTGTCATTTTCTTTTGTGTGCTATCATTAAAAATACTGTATCTTCAGCTGTTTAATGTCTTATTTTGTAACAAATATTTCCCTTGTGTAAGTCAGTCAATCGCTAGTATTTTTTGTGGCACCATGAATATTTCTGCTTCCTGCCCAAATACTTTGTGAGGTAAGCCTTTCAAATCTGGTACCACAGCTTAGTAGGTGAAAGATGTATACAACACATCAAGGTCTGAGGGTTTATGAAAATAATTTCCAAATAGGAGAATAATTATTAAGTATGGGTGAAAAATATTAAATTTAAACCAGGCAAGTTACCAAAATTGCTAAGCTTGAGACATATGTTACAAAGAGTTAAAACTTAAATATTCTGGTACTTAGCACAGTAAGAATGATTGAAAGCTGTCTCATTCTGTCTAAACATAACAAAAAAATTTATAAAAAGTGCAGTTGGCAAGGGTGTACAACCTAGAAATTTGATGAGAGAAAGCCTTCTAAGAGGCTTCCTTTAGGAAAAGAAAAGTGGTTTTGACCACCTCTGAAGATACAACATTTTGTACTTTTAAGTTTTAAAACTGACAAACAGGAGTCCTATGTTATCTTTCCTTAGTCTTGGGAAATGTCACGGGCAAGAGTCAAAATAAGGTGGGGGGAGCAAAACAGTCAAAGCAAGAATCAAATTTAAAGTTCAAGTAACGTATCCGGTTCCTCATTGTGTTACTTCAGTTCTAAGACGATGTGTATAGAGCACTGCAGTAGTAAATAAAGGTTGGTACTGAGCTTAATGTTCGATTGAATTAAAGGAAGACATTTTCCCCTGAATATTGGATAAATCAGTAAAAAGGCTACTTTTTCTAAAAAGGAATTTTAATACATGAGGGGGTGTGGGGTGTTATGCACTTATTAGAACAATAGTTGAGTTTATAGGGTGGTAAAGTTACTGTAATAGTGTGGGGTGGAGGAGAATTAGGAAGGGAGGATGGTATAGGAGGAAAGAAGTTTCATGCAGTTTGCAAGCTTTAAATATTTCTCTTTGCATCATGAGCTGTTGCTTATTGCTTGTTTGCGCAAGCATTTTGATGCTTACTCTAGATAACTTGTTAGTGCAGATAGTATATAATCCATGAAATAGATAAGCAAAATGTACAAAATAACAGATATTCTGTTCTATTATGGGAGTAAGGTTAGAATAACTCCACTTAGCTCCATGACCTTACTCTGGAATTATAACAGTTTAAGTGAGAGCTAAGTTTAACCTATGAATTATAGTGACATCTGGGGTTAATCTGGGTGCAGTGTGTGAGAGAGTGTGTTGCTCTTGGTGGATTAGGGCATAGCTAAGAGTAATTAGTACTTTTCTCTTTTTTTAACCAAGTAGAGGATGTTCAGTAAATAACTGGATGCCTGCAGAAAAAATGCTTGATAATAGATTTGCAAAATGAGTAACAAAGAAGAAAGCAAAACTGCCTATGAGGCATGTAGGTAGTTAAGAAATTAAATTCATAGTGGGAAATACCAATTTGACTTGAAAATAAAGTTGTCTGTGAAAAGAACAGTAGGCATCACGCATCAAAGAGTTGGTCCTGGTCAATTGTTAATCATGTTCACCCAGAAGGGAGAATTTACAGCCAGCCATGGAGGAGTGGCTGCTTTCACTTTGTGAAGTTGCTTTACTATTTTGGTGGTTGCCCTAATTCATGTATGTGCTATTACCCGCAGCTGATAAACTGCAGCGTGCATGGTTAGAGTTTCGCACTAGAAACACCTGAGGTGTCACTACCACAGTAGTAGTGGTTGCTAGATGGAATTTCATGGCTTGATTTCTCCACCTGTGGCCCCCTCAGAGAGGGTGATCGCTGTCTCCTCCCTCAGAGTCAGGGTCTTGAGGGTATTTACTGTACAGAAGAATTTGGCCTTTTTTTTTTTATTTTTGTCTTGTGCTTGAAGGACGGCTTCCATTAATGTATTAAGGGAACCCTAAGGGTAAATCTAATTATCACATTAGAGACAATGTACAAAACATATAGTTAGATTTTCACTCGATGAACACAATTCACAGACCTTTTAAAAGAAGTGCTTCCCATTTCTTTCAAGGCTTCTTAGGTCTCAGTACCTTATAAATCTCACTGACTCCCCCTTCAGGACACAACTGCAAAAGGAAAGTAAATGTTGAATTTGTAAGTGCCATATATGAATGGAAAACGAAGGGAGGGGGAACAAAAAACAACCAAAATGACTGTTCAAGTGTTAATATATCCATCTTTTTTTTTTTTTTCTCTTTTCATGTTGTGCTATTAGGTCAGTCACCATCCACCTATTTCTGCATGTCACGCTGAGTCTGTGAATTTTGCTTTTTGGCAAGGTAACTCTTCAGTCTATCATTTATTTTTACAATGTTCATAGTATTTTCATTGGATGTCTAACATGAAATATCCAGAAATTGGGAAAAGGTGAAATTTCCTGCTTAAATTGTATTAGAATGACTTGAAGAAGTGCTAGCCTATACTTCTTGCATGCTTCTTATTTGGATGTTCTGCCATAATAACAATGTTCAAGGTTGTTTGGTTTTGTTTTTTTTTTTTTTTAATAACATTAATTGATTATTCTTTTCATGTACAAATATCTGCAGTTCTTTAAAATCAGGTTTGGTGGGTTGTTTTGCTTGGTGGGTTTTTTTGGGGGGTGGAGGGGAGTTCTTTAGTAAAGAAGAGTTATACCTCAAGCTATTTATAAAACAAACAAGCTAGAACATAGCTTGAAAAACTACAAGTTACATCCTGAGCCTTGACAGAACTTATAAACCTGTTATGGAAAAAAACCTCCCAAAATGAACGTGACAGCAAGCATAAATACGTTTACCGGGTCTTTCTTTGCTGGCATTATTACTGTATGTAAGATTTTGTGCTATTTGATTACTAACATTGTGTTCCAATAAAACTGTTTTGGAGTTTTGTTTGCTGTGTAATGCAGTTGTCAGCTGGTCACAGTACCTGTGTGGTTAGATGTTTCTGGAGCGTACCCAGAACATAACTGCACCTCTTAACTCAGTTGAAGTCCTTCACCTGGAGGTTTTTGAATTCACAGTCTAGCCATATTATAACCTTTAATTCTGTTATGATTGACTCTACTGACTTGATTATAGTTATTACGGATGGAGCCATACTGAACAGAAATTGGAACTCTGTCATTCGTCTGGATTTCATTATTCAATATAATTCTTTGCTTTGTAAACAAATACAGGGACAAGAGTCCTTCTGTTCTTAGCAAAAAGCAGAGGTGACCAAAAATTTACTCAGTAACTGAATACTGTATAAATAAGACTAGGTAGCAGCCTGTCTTGATGAAAACTCATGAGGCTGATTCGTTTAACAGAATTTGACAATGGTTGTCACTCAAATATTTTAACACTTGCATTTAGAGAACAAAGCTGTTCTGTGAAGATGAGAGCTGAGAATCTGATCAATGAGAGAGTCTGAGATTTGGTCTTGATGAGCACAGGAGACTCAGGGTACTACAGGGTTTTGTGGGTTTGTTTTGTTTTTAAATGTGGATAGCTGAGCTTATGGGAAATCTAGACAATGATTTTATTCTTTTATTCCAATGTCAAGGCAACTTGTAAATTTTGTGGCCTCTTGTTATGGGGCTATATTAATTTAGGTGGAAAGATTAACATCAAGTTAATCACAAAGGTAGCTTGTCAGTGAGATAAGTTCTTTGAGTGCAAAGATCTTTTCACTTACCATGTTATCTCCTCAGCTGAAAAGGAGACAGTCCTCAGCAACGCTGCCACAGTAGCGCTGTCATCCCACCAGACACTGACCTTAGTTCATCTGTTTCAACATCAAGAAATCTCTTGATCATCTCTAGTGAGCCCGAAGACTGAGTTCTGACAGGGACAGTTATTTTGGAAATCTTTTCCCTGACTTACAAAGCTGACTCTGCTTTTGTAAAGGAGTGTGGACATATAAACAATGGAAATGCAGAATAGAAAGTTCCAACTATTACAGCATCTGTGCCTGAACTAATCTGAGCGTAGCTTTGAAAATAACACTTCACTTTTCCTAGCTGTCCTAAAATTTGTGCATGATCAAGTTACACACTGCTTCCCAACGTGTTTCCCATGTACTGATCTCTGTGGGACAGCTGTGCTGTTTATGAGAATGTAGAACATAACACAGTCTCATAATGCATTTTAACTGTTAAATTCGCCAGGGTGTGCCTTTGCCCTTTCTCTTCTATCCACTGCAGTAGAGAGAAAGCTAGTACAGAATTCAGCTCAACGCCATCATAGTCAAGGTAGTTTTGGACCTCTTATTGTGCAGTATAGAATGACAACAGAATTGCTGTCACTAAAGATGCTGGTCCAGCATCAAACTTCAAAATTAAAAAAAAAAAAAAATCCTTCTTGCAAGTGATAATAAAAAGATCATTTTTTTCATGAGGAATTCTGCCCGATGTCTTTGCAATGGTAGGCAGCTTGATGTGGATCAGTCCTATCACTTGAAGATATATACTCGGAAGATATGTCATCTCCTAACTACAGTTTGAGCATCTATCTCACAGCCAGTATAGCAGCTTCCCTCCACAATTGCATAGGAAACAGTGTTTTGGTTAGTACTAGTACCTTTTTCAGATTAGAGATTATTTTTTCCCTCTTTTTCAGATTGGGCAGGGAATGGAGCTCCTAGTGTCTAATACAGCAAGGATACTATTTCCCTGAGCTCTGAAGTTACTATGAAACTTACTGCCTGAATATCTAGCCTAATTTAACTCTATATCCCTTCTGCTGTGCTTCTCTGCCCATGTTTCTTTCTCTTCCAGGTGTTTTTGCTCAATACATTTGGCTAAACTTGTATTAAGATTTCTCATCTTTTTTTTGGAGAAATGACGTGAGACTTGGACATGTCTTTCTGTGATTCAGACAAGATCTTTAAAAGGCTAGTTAAACTTACAGAGGAAGTTAGACTAAATCCCTCTGCAATTTTGTGCCCTTTGAAACATTCTTCACTGTGGATGTTCTTAGTTGCTTTATTTTTGTATTTGAAATTCTGCTTTGTTTTTGGAAATGTCTGCATTTGTTCACTAGCAACTGAATTGCAGAGAAATATATGCTGTCTATAGCTTATTCAAATCCCTGTCTTTTTCAAAAGTTTTTGAGAGGACTTTTAAACCTCTGTTACTTTGCTAAATAACCAATAATGTAATGAAAATTAAAAAAAAACCCAAAACCCAAAAGGTCCACAGCACTTTGTTATTTTGCATTTCTTGAAAATACAGTGGAACCCAGAAATAGATTGATTCACCCATGCCTATGACTAAGCTTGTTTTTTGTTTTTTTTTTTTCTTTTTTTCCCTCTTCCTGTTTCAGATGTAAGATGGAAAAACAAATTCTGGGGAAAGTCCATGGAAATTGTTCCAGTTGGTACAACACATGTAACTCTTCCAGCGTAAGTGCTGCAGTCGTGCATTGCTGTTCACACACAGGCACAGGCATGCTTGTGCACACTGGAGCCACATTTGTCTGGATGAGAACAAGCTGTGTTGTGCCGTATTAGACCTTTGGAAGAACTGGTGATTATGATTTAGTTTAGAAACAGGGGGGAAGAAAAAGAACACCAAATCAAAACCAGAAGCATAAACCAGAAGCACTAACTCTTCCAAAGGTTATAAAAAACCATCATTCCTGTGTGTCTTGAAAAAAAACAAAGTTGGTATTTTCATACTTCAGTTGAATTTCAAGCATCATGCATTTTAAACTCACAGGGAAAAACTGCATGGTAGAGGAAGCTATGAATTTTTTTGCTTGAATATGGCTTTGGGGGAGGGTGTGGTGGTGGTGTTTTTCTTGTCTTTTGTACCTGTATTTGTACAGACCCTAACATCATGGGGTACTGGTCTGTAGGTGAGGCTGACAGCAATCATTACTGCAGAAATAATTATTGTAAGTGATAAATAGGACCAATTGCATATCTGGTGTTTATTATCAAAGGAAGTAAGCAGCCACTGTAGTTAAGTGTTGAGTACAGTTTATTTTTTTCTAAAAAATAAAAATCTGCAATGTTCTACACTCTCTTGTCAGAGTGCCCATTATAGATCAATAATTAAAATCCCTTAAAATTTGGCCTGTATCCATCATGCTTGCAGAACCAGAGGTCTGAAGGTTGTGTAATGTTCCAATTAAATCTGTTTTCCAAAGAGAGTTTAAAAAATTAATTATTCTGCCATCTGAAAAACAAAAAAGAAAAACAACCCAAGAACTTAACACGCATTAGACTAAGCAACTAAGCATGCGTTTTTCTTTTAAATGGGTAAAATTGCGATATAGTAGGATAGTTTTTGTTCATCTCTTCTTGTCTGCTGTGTTCCAGTGTGCGACTGCATCTTGAAATACCTGGTGAGAACTTTTGCTCTTGCCTAAAGCACACACATAGGCTCAGCCTTGAAAGCCTGAGCCAAGCTCATTCCGTTCAGTCTTCTGTTGGCTCCAGTGGCCCATGTCCTTGTATTTTCAATTGCCACAGTGTTAGAAGCTGTGAAATGGGCTTTTCAGCCAGTAGAAGATATTGGAATGATTACTTTTGGAAACTTAAAACTGGTAAAGAGGGACAAGTAAATTGAGAGAGAACTGAATTCAAGACCAATGTTTATAGTAGAAGTGGAAAGGGTTTTCTGGGAGAAAGGATTGTTGTCATAGATTTTGTTTTTGAGAAGGTGTGGGACAAGATGATGAGGCATTCCAGAAAAAAAAAAATTGTTTTATGGGGTTTTTCTAATCAAGTTCTCTGCAAATTTTTTTCACAAGTTTATGAGCTCATTTGAACATGGCATGAGATTTTTTTTTGTGTTTTTCTTATAGTTTTAAAGACCATTTTGCATGGAACAAGGTGACATCTTGCATCCATAACATCTTAAGTGGGCAAAGATGGATTGAACACTACGGAGAGATCATCATCAAAAATCTTAACGATGACACTTGCCACTGCAAACTGACTTTCATAAAGGTAACCACAGCAGTAACTGCAGCAATGTTGGCAGTGCCTTTTCCAACAGATGCAGCAGTAGGTGGATGCTCTCTGCTGAAGCTCAGTACAACTGCTTACAAGCTGTATTTTCCTATAGTTCTGCTGTAATTGCCTGTGATTCTTTGAGAAACTTTAACTCTGAAGGAACTGCTGCTCACTAGGTAGAGCCAGACAAGAAAGAGAAGCAACAGCTTTCTTGAATGATTCCACTTGAGATGCAGAAAAGGATGGGGAAAGGAAGGGAAGAAATATGATGAAAAATCTACTCTGTTTGATGAGAGAGGTAGGCACAAGGTGTCTACTGACGGTGGTTTACCAGATGCCTCCTGCTAACGCATTGGCATGTGCTGTGGTCATATTCATTCAGCAGCTTGTAGTAGTAGACCCAGTGCTTGTGTGGGGTGCTTCACCTGATGCTCTTTTCTGCCCTTTGCAGGTACTTGGAGGAGCTTAAGTGAGAGGTTGTGGCGTTACTCAAAGCTTTTGCTTCAGTAGAAGTCATCAAGGCATAACTTCCTCAGAAAATACCCTTATAACTGAAACTAAAGTTAGATTTTGGCAATAGATGACTTCTTCCTAGTAAAGGAAAATCAGTGGAAACCTAAAACAATGCCAAAATTTCAAACCTGAGAAATAGTTTTGCAAAGTATGCTAGGAGACTTACCTTAACCTGTATATCCTGTATCTGATTGCTGGAGAAAGGCTGTGCTTTACACAGAAACAGAACGTACAAATACAAGCTAAGCACTTCAGCATAACTATGCAGCATGGCATGCTCAGCAGCAGAAGGAAAGTTTCCTTTTCTTACTTGTTTTCTTGAGTACTTTGTGCTTTCTAAGAAGCATTAAGGTGATTTTTTTTTTTCCAAATACTTCTTTCAAAGTACTGTAATGTATTTGCAGAGTTGCAGTGGATGTTTAGAGTTCAAATTTTAAAGATTGAGAGCCTGCAAATCTTACATCTTTGCTATTGTAAATTGTCTAAAGTGGAGCTAACCGTATCAGTTCCTTCTCCTTCTCTTCTGCGAATTTGGGGAAGATCTATATTAAATCAGTGTTACCTGTCATTGGGCAAAATTCAAGGTCAGCTATGCTTCACCTAGTACTGCCCCTAAAAAAAAAAAAAAAAAAAAAGGCAAACAAAATAAATAAATACAGTTCTCAACATTAGTATTTTAATAAACTGATTACTAGTACTAACAGCAAGTGTTTGCATACGATATTGTAATGCACAGCTTAATGAATAGTTTTCAGAAAACCACTCTACAGCATGGTACTACTGACATGGCAAAATCACTCACACTTGATCTCTTATGCACCTTTTTTCTCCTTGTTCCTTCTAACTCTAGGCGAAGTATTGGAATCCAAATGCACATGAGATTGAAGGCAGTGTCATGGATAAAGCTGGGAAAGTTGTGCATCGACTCTTTGGGAAGTGGCATGACAGTTTATACTGTGGGACGACTTCATCTTCGAACTGCATATGGAGAGCAAGTTAGTGATGAGAATGGCTAATGTACAGAACTTAAGATGTGCTTGAGAATAAGCTCACTATTTTAATCTCTTTATTAGGCCTCAACTTCTTGTTATTTCTATGTGGAATATTAGATTTTTGTCAAGCGTTTAAAATTTAGACCAGAAGAATGCATCATTTAACTTAAATAATATGGAGAACTTAATCCCATGACTCCCTGCATTTTCTTCATTCTCCCTCATTTTCCTATTTGGGCATGAAGTGGGTATTGAGGACTCTAAAAGGAAGTAAAAAAAAATAAAAAAAAGGAACCAACCCCCCCACTTTTTTGTAGAGAAGTGTGATATATTTCATGTATTAAACATTGGAGGATAGCCCACAAAGCTCAATTCTGTAATGACAGCTATATCTGAACTTCTCCCAAACTTAGGTTTTGTCTATTGTAGTTTGAAAATGTACTACGATAATAGCATGGCCTTCCTCACAGTTGTGCTCTGATTCAGCTGAGAGAACAAAAATATGTTTTGTTGCAATGCAATTATCAAGGGGGATGTTCTCTTTTGTCACATTATTAAAAACCTCTTATTCCCCCAGAATTGAGACCACAGTTGAGAGATGAACAAATGACTTCAGGGAGCTTGGAATTTTCCTTCTAGAGATAAAAGCATTTAATTGGAATTCTGAATGTACTTTTTTCTTCTGTAGATCCAATGCCTAAAGGTTATGAACAGTGGTATGGATTTACTCAATTTGCACTGGAGTTAAATGAACTGGATCTGCAAACTAGGTCATTGCTCCCATCCACCGATACACGTTTTAGGCCGGACCAAAGGTAAGAAGTTTTCTGTCCTAAATATCTTCCTCAGTTTTTAATCTTCTGTACACTCACTTTACCCTAAGATCCAGACTATCTAGTGTAGATACCTGCAGCGTGTTTCCATTTCTACGATAATGTGCATCTGAAATTAGATGTTTTAATCACTTACCAAGAGATGGTATAGTCATTGTGGACCAGTGTTTCCTAAAATTGATTTTTGGATGCTTCAGTGTTTAGATAACTGCCTTTCCAAAAATGTTAAAACTTCAGTAGTTCAGGTACCAGACGTTCTGTGTTTCAACAGCCAGAAACTGAGACGCTTGAATTTCTACTGTTGCTAACTTCCAAGGAAAGGAATGTAATGATGACTCTGAGCTTATTATAAGAGTTACTTTTCCTTAATTGCTTTTTGATAGTGCAGTTGTCTGCAGATATAGCTGTTTACAGCAGGCAGTTCAGTGTTCGAAAGGTAAAGATTAGATTCTGGAGCTCTAGAGGACCTGGCAAAGGTGGGGGACAGGAGCACCAATTGTGTCTCTTATCACCCCTGGTACTACAGGTTCCTAGAAGAAGGGAATATTGAAGGAGCTGAAATGCAAAAGCAGAGGATCGAGCAGCTGCAGAGAGAACGACGGAAGGTGCTGGAAGAAAACAATCTAGAGCATCAGCCTAGATTTTTCAGGTACTATATAATAATTAGTATATACTATCATTTATTGAGATTCTTCTTATAGATCTGGTTCTAAACTGCCTTAGAGCAGACTCCAGTTTTTTCCAGGTTTCTTCTATATTCTTGACGTTTGTATTTTGGCAATGTAGAACACTCCAGATGTAGTTGAAACTCAGGATTATATATTGCTTTTTCACTAGTTCATCCCTGAATTCTTTCAAATTTTTTTGCCTTCATGGTGACTGATATTTACTCTATGTTTGAATTTGCCTGAGTGAATGTAGCATCTTCGATTCTTTCAAGCAAGGTGAAGTAGCTGAATTTAGCTTAATTACCTCTGCTGAACTTCTAAATTCAGTGGGATTGCCTTGTGCAGAAGTGTACAGAGTTGGAGCTTTCATTTCCAGGGCTATTTTTCAACACGTTTCCCCTATTTCACAGGGAGAGAATTATCATTCAGAGGGTACTTTGTTTCTTCCTGTTGTAAATAATCGATTAACAGGAGACTTCAACCATTGAAAGACAAAACCAAATGCTAGTGAGGACATGGTCTCTATTATAGCAAAAATGTGTAAAGTAGATATGAATTATGCATTTGGCTTTTCAATAGTGGTTTCTCTTTTCAACAAATCACAAGCCTTGATTTACTTGAAACGTAATTTGCTGTTGTGCCAAAAATGTTGTACACTAGATTAAAAGTAGACTGATTCCTTCAGGTTACTGTGTCTAGTGCAATGAGTCTCGCCTCTTGACTGAGGGCTGTAGGCTCTCCATGAAATAACCATGGTGAGCCATCTTCAAAGAGGTAAAAGGGAAGTTTTCACTTTCCACTTGAAGCTGCCTTTGAGACTATGAAATAAACCTGGACTGTAGTTTTAACTGCTAAGCACTGGCATGTGACACTGAAATAAGTGTGGTGATGTCAGCTGAACACCAGGCTACTGAGGTGCATCTCCAAGGCCCAGTGCAGACGTACCAGTTCAACTCTCAAAGCCATATTGCCTTGTTTGAAGGCTGTACTGAGCTGCACTGCACCTGGTTCATGGGCTGGATTGGGTATCCGTGCATAGTGCTACGTTGCATTACACAGTGTATGTATGGAAAATACAAGTTTTACATTTAAGACATTTGTTTAATCTTTGATAGGAAATCCAGCGATGACTCCTGGGTGAGCAATGGGACCTACATGGACCTTAGAAAAGAACCTGGTTTTTCCAAACTGGATAATCCTGTCCTCTGGTGAAAGAGGAGCTAAGTGAAGATATTCTGTGCTGTATTCTCAGATCTGATTTAAAAGAAGTATATATAAAATATATCTCTATATATATACACATCTATATATATACACACACACATATAATATATGTGTGGGGCGTGTGTATGTGTGCAAGTATGCATAGCTCCAGAATTGTGCTTAATTTAGAACCTGGTAATTTGTTTCCTTTACTCTGATTATTGCAGTGATTGTTTGAATGTATAAATACCCTTACTTCTTTTTATAAAAATATTTAATATAAAGTACTGAATGTTAACAGCGAGAGGGAAAAGAGGAGCTTTTACACTACTTTTCCAAGATGTAATAACGTCAGTTCTGAGTTAACTTATGCCTTATTGAATTGCATTGGAGACAGTAGCATCAGCATCTCCTAGCTGTGCTGAGAAATCAGAGTTGCAAGCCTTAGTAACTCAAACTGTAAGTAGATTTCCACAGTTCAATGAGTAGTTCAGCTGTCTCTGGGCTGGTATAAATTGCTAAAACAGATTATCAGCTGCTGCTGGAATCTTGAGTATGATCTTTTGCTGCCTGTAGAAAAGATTTAAATAAGCTTTTGTTTCTATTACCTTTCTTCTTAGCATTATGGAAGAGATAGTTCTGAGCTTACATCAGTGGTTCTACTGCCTTATACATAAAATATACCCGGCTAACTGTAGTGCTAGAAATTCAGGAGTCGCCAAAATTTTCCACTGGGAATCTTCAGATTTATGGCCCTCAACAGGGCAAGAGGAGGAGATCCTTTGTATATACTGCTTGAGCACTGACTAGATGAAGCAGCTTTCTCTTTTTCCAGTAAGTAAAATCTAGACAGAGCACGAAATCCTGTGCTTCCATAGCTTCATTTGTTTTTATTAACCTAAAAATTGGAAGAGTAAGACTTTTTAAAAAAAGTAAGCAAACTGATTGTTTTAAGCTAGAAATTTTTTCTTAGTATTTTGATATTTTCTACCTCTTAAGAAATAAACAGCATATTTAAGATCTTAAAAATGACCATCTGCCTTATGGAGAAATGTATGGAGTCTTTGATCTTCCTCTGTTCGTTATGTTCAGATAAATATTCAAGTGTCTTGCACTAAATCAATTGTGTCCCTTTCCTGTAATTTTATACATATGGCTAGATTTGTGAAACTACTAAAACATAGGTCAGAAACTTAGCAGGAAATAAATGTAGCAGAAGTTGCACTTTTGAATGAAGATTATAGAGATGGGCAGTATTTTTGTTTTTCTCCATTCAATGCCACAGTCATTAACGGAGTAATTTGCATTCCTACCTATCTGCAACTCCAGCTTGACCCATGATTATTCAAGTCTGTTGTATGTGTCTGTGACTCTATGGCAACAATGCGGTCTCCAAGTTTAGAACTATATCCTGTCACCACCAACCACTCTTTTTCTTACTTGCCACTTTAACAACACAAAATAAACCCAAATGTTGTTGGCATGTTTAACTGGTTTATGACTGGAATGGTTGGACAGGGCATGGATAAGGGAGACTCCTAGGAGGACTAGTAGGTTGGAAAAGCTTGCACTTTACTGGGTGCTGCATTGTTCTAAAGAAAACCCATTAAAAATAGATCCATGTATTATATGTAATATGAAGGAAATACTATGAATGCTTCCATTTTAAATCAAATCTGTGATGTCAGATTAGATGTATATTTGAATTTTGATTTCTGTTATCTTGAAGCCCCATTGTCTTACAGGCAGATGAATGCTTTTTCACCATTTTTCACTTTGCCCGGGAACTCTGCCTCACTATCATTTCTGTAATTTAGTACCAAAGAAGTTAGCATAATTCTTTCTATTTAATATGTCTTCTAAAGACTTGATTACCGTGCTAGCAGCTTACAACGAGGCAAGGCTCACATCAATATGAAGGCAAAATCTGGGCTTGGATTCTAACGGAAATCTTAACATTTCAGGGCTGTTCGGCTTTTCAAGGAAAATGAGGATCTCTTTGTGATTTGTTCCCTTCCTGTGTTTTATACTTGTATTAACTGACAAAGCTTGGCACAGAAATGAGTCGATATTTGTAATTATCCTTGCTGTTGGTAATTACCATTTATACTAGAAATAACATTAATTTAACAACAAAAGAGGGTAGGGGAAATGAAAAAAAAAAAACTTTTAAGAAAGGGAGCAAGGTTTGTGGAGGATGCTTTAAACTTGCTCATCATCATATTTGGCAGCTACTGTGATTACTGTCTGATCTGATTGCTGGGTTTGTATTTTCTGTATATGGAGGGGATTTCTCCATACTTTTCATATGACCTAATAATTGATAGCATCTGAAATTAAACGATTAGAGGCCAAAAGACAAAGTTAAAGCATTGTAATGCATTAAAATCAGCAGGTGTCAAACAAAATTAATCTCATATTCGGTGGTAGAGTCATGATTTTTGAGAAATCAGACTGGCAGTGTGGCTGTGTATCTTACAATCTAAAATGTCTAAAAAACATTTGATTAATGGCAAGAAGAACTGGGCTCAGTAGTGCCTTATATAAAATTTTCTTCAGCAAAATTCCCATATCAGGAAGGTTTACTAGCATTTCCAGAAAAATAATGCCTGAGAATAATCCAGGGCACTTCTTAAATACATGAAGCAAAACATTGTACAATAACTCCTCCTGTACATCTCTACACATCTGCAAACCTGATGCAACCAGTTGTGAATGATCTTCTGACCCCATGTTCTAACTGCGGTATAGTTGTCCCAGCTTACTTTTGTATGAAACAATTGGGTTTAGTTGTTAAACTGCTGTCAAGTGTATACTAAAAAGTGGAAGAAAATTGTCTCAATGTTACTTCTGTATATTTCTGCATAAAAATATATTAATTCACAAACCTTAGTATATACAGTTATTCTTGGTAAAATATGAAGTTTTGGTAATTTTCTTCCCCAAACCTTCAGATGTGTTAATGGGTTCAAAACTTATATTCGCTTTCTGCAATGTAACTAAGACAGCTGTTATTTTAATAACTGACATTGAGTGACTTTTTTCCCCCATTTCTACCTGAATGGTAAAAAGAACATCTCAGGCAACTTACCTTCCTTTCAACACAGCAGTGATCCCCAAGCTGTTCAGCTCAATGGATCAGTCTTAAAATTTCCTGATGACCATTGCCTGCTGTTTTAGCTCTCTTATTTCATGACTTTATAAATGTTACTCAATATGATTTTGGAGGGCAGTTTGAAAAGCACTCATCTAGCATTGCCTTTCTTGGTGTACCCATTCACAAAGTTAAAAAATTCACTATAAACTTACGTCAAGATGATGGAGCAGCTCAGGCCTTTGGGTGTTAAAACACTGACGCAGTTTTCAAATTACACAGCAAAGAAAGAAAAAAAAAAATCAATCCAGGGAAATAGTGTTCATAGAAACAGAAACCCACAGCTCTACTTCCAGATTTGCAGACTTGATGCTTAGTTTCTGATTTTGGGGCAGTTTTTGTTTGGGATTATGAAACAACAGTGTAACTTGTTTAGGAAACTACTCTTGATAGCACTCAAACTTTAGACTGAGTGGAAGCATAAAGTGCCCTTTAGACTGAGTGGAACTGGAGTGCACCATTAATCATTGCATTCCTTTCTGAATCTCTGCTCTCTGAGATATGCTTTATGTGTTAGTTTGCCAGCACTGATCTACTTCTTTCAGATGCTTTCTGAAATACAGATTCAGTAAAGTACTTGGGGTTTTTTATACAGAGCTCAGAAAATTAGATGCATGGAAGGAAGAGTGAAAACAGCCAAAATTTTGAGAAGAAAATATCCTAGAGATCTGTTCTTTCACCAACACATTTTCTTTGAAGGGCCTGAAGCAGGATTACTGGTTTCTTTTAAAACCTGGCCCCTGAAGGAGGTGGTGGTCACAAACAAGGTCACCTTGTTAATTTGGCAGTTTAGTGTTGAAGCCAGATCACTGCACAGAATGGAACGTAAATTCATGGGGCCAGAACGTACGACCAGGGACAGCTTTGGGGTGGCACAAAGGTACAGTGCTGGTCTCAAAAAAAACCCAACCTAACAAAAACTTTACCCCTTCCTATGCCCCCCACTTGCCCTCAACTGTTTACAGTCCTGTTGAGGTTTTCTATGTGGCCTCTCATATCTAAAATTCCTTATTCAGTGTCCCATTTTCTCATTATTAAAAAAAAATTCTGCAGAACAGGAACACAGTCCACTCTAACAAGCTTTTAAATGACAAATCATGCCTAAAAGCTATAGTAAAAACGTTCCCCATAATCATTGTGGCCTATTTCTGTATCTTTTCCTTGACTGTGAAGAGGACTTTCTTCCCACTTGCACTCTGGAGTCAGACCACAGCCTGGTAATGGTAGTGTGAGATGGAAATGTGCAGGTACATCTGCTCAGCATGCTCCTAATTAATGTTCTCGCATCTGCTTTTGTGTAAATCTCTTCCATCATCTCTCTAGATGACCAGCTTGGCAGAGCAGGAAATTTTCAGCGTATCTTATTTTGTTCAATACAGCTTTTCTTTGTGTACAACATGTATGGGGGGGCAAGCTGAAGAGGAGTGCAAAACTTGGCTCACAATGCATATATAATGGAGAGAAGGATGAAATCCAACTTCTCCACGTAACGGAATACATCTTGTAAGGGCTAGAGTCAGATGGCGCAATTCAAAGGAGTGAAGTTAAAATGGAAGGGTTTTTTTGGTTAAGTGTGTTTTCATTCATGGATTATGCCTACTATAAATAAAATTCACAGTATTCACTAACATCCTTTCTATTTTCTAGCTACTGGTGAGCGCAACTTACTCCAGCAGCTGTGGGTTCCTCAGAAACTCCACGTTATCTGGCTTATCTGTTGAAACTTAGTGAATGCTGTAACTATCACCAAATGTAGTATTGTACTGCTCAGTTCTTAGATACTGTTCTTGCTGCAGCTTTTGAAAGCAATAAGAGAAATTTTCCACAGAAATAGTTGCCATGTGTTAAAAAATCA